AAAGATGATATTTTATTACAAATTTATTTTTATAAAGAAAAAAAAAGACATAAAAAAGCAAATGCGCGAGCATTTAGAATACGAACTGCTCTTCGACAAAGATGTGCAGCAAGAGACGTTAGAGTCGAGTGTTCGGTCTACAAAACGTTGCTAGACCGTCGTCAGCACACAGAATTTGGTTGATCAACGTTTGGCAAATGAACCAATAAACATCTCTAATATGACAGTTCGACCAATAGCCCCCCAATAGAGCTATCATATGGATGTTATTTCTAACAAAAAAAACTCATCAAAAACAACGCCTGTCAGAATTTAATGCCATCTTTTGTCACGGGTTGCGGGAATTTTCAAAGAAGCGTTATTGTTTCCTAAATAGTCCTGGTAATTATTGATGGATATAGTAGTTAAATGAATTCGGTATAGTTTAACGGCATCGTTCACGTTTTCACATATGACTAGTAAGGAGCTTACAAAGAAGGAAAAGTTCATAGTTAAAACGATGATGAAGTTCATTCCATATAACGTCAAAGCAGAGAGGAATCTTTGGTGAGAGTTTATTTGATTGAATAGGACCAATATGACATTGACAAGAGGGCAAATAAACAAGAGTTGAGTAAAAATTTCATGAATGGGGGCGAAGTTGTTTACACAGGACTGCTTCCTTCAACTCGGAAAGAAGAAAACTCCTTTCCAACTGCGATGTCAACTTTGATAGAGTTTATGCCCATAGGCCAAAACCATTTATGTTTTACAAAGTCTCTCTTGCTTGCTGGTTATTATAAATTGACTTACAATCTTGGCATTCTTTTATCCTTTGCCAGCAATGTCTATAACAACAAAGGTACAGTTGGGCATTTTTTGTTAAATCAGGAAAACACAATACAATGCTTATAAGTGCGAGATATACTTAAGATTGTAAAGCGTTGTCCTATTGACTTGAATGTAGAATAAGAACTCTTCCTTTGAAAATGTATGCATATGACATGTAACATAATTCACACTTCTCCTGTTACTCTCTCCAATAATAATGGAGTTGAAGAAAGAATTGAGCTTGAGCACTACTAGAGAAATTAGAATCTTCAAAATAACAATGAAGGAGGAAAAAAAAAAAATGAAAACGAAAGCCATTGCAATTGCGTCTATGAACTCTAAGAGCGAGTTTTTGTGTAAAAAAGTAAGCACTGAAACGATATTCGCAGTTGGATCAAATGAATTCTTACTCACAATTAGAGATGCTTAAAGTAAGCATATTGAGACCATAATGACGTGGCATCTCTTTAAGGGCACTTAAGCAATGCTCTTTAGCTTCACATTTAGTTCCCTTTGCCTCAAAGTTTTAAAAATCTATTAAATCCCGCATGACTCGGGGTAAAGAACCACTTTCTCAATCGATTATTTAAGTTTGTCTGTCCATCTTTCCATCTCATTTTCTTGTGTTCGACCTACAGGTTGTAATTTTTGAAGTGTTTTGATGAAATTTGATACACTGACCTGTACCGTGTTCGGATCGTTGATGAACGCTGTTAAAACTGATTCGGATGGGACCACTTTTTCGACCATTTCCCATGTAAGATCCCATTTTAAAAAGTCATTATATGAATAACTGTAGGGTGATGTAGGGTATTTAATAAAACAATTTCTTATAATTTGTCCATGTAGTCCGTTAAGCGCAGTAGAAGACCTTCACTTATTTTTACGAAAGCAGCTTCTAAGAGAAAGTAGGTAAAGTAAATGTCACGGGTGTTTGAATCTCCCCGAAAAAGATGTTGAGAGGCGAGGAGCTGTCAATCTCCTGCTTCCGATAATCCGCATTATAGCAAAGCGAGATTCCTTCAAGTTGTCTTGAGCAATGAAATTGGAAATGCTGTATCAATTCGAATTGGGCCAAATCAGGAGAAATTTGCTTTGGAACGACGAAACAAAAATAAATGTGATTGGGAACGATGCAAGAAGATGTGTACTTCGGTCAAAAGGGAAAGAATTTGACATTATATCTACAAAAAAACCTGTGAAACACGCCGAAGGAAAATCTAAAGGGACAGGGCTATTTTTCTTGGGAGTGTACCCGCCCAATACATCTCAGAGAAAGCACTATGGTTAGAGTGGTATGTAAAAACTTGTTCGGAACTGCAATGCTGCCGTATGCCGCAGAAAATATGCCACTGCTATGGAAATTCCGAAACATTCATTCAGTTTGATGAAAACGCAGTTCCTGCATTATATCTTGAACGCCATTGAATGACCAAGTCAGTCTCCCGGCCGGAATGTTTTTGAACACAGGACTGCAATAAATTGATAATAAATCATGGACCTACTCAAAATAGTAAAATATAAAAAGCAAGTACATCATAAAATAGCGAATATTGCATTCTGTTTCCATGCACAGGTGTACCTTTCAGGAGAACGGGTCCAAGCAATTAACTTGAACTTGTTGTCAAAGATCTTCATATTCTTCGACTAATTCCGTTATAAAATATTGAAAATTAGTCTCTTTTGCCTTCAAGAAAATTCACTTACATAATGTATGTTTGGATGATTTTCATAATAAAATGTTAAAAACTATATCATTCCTTTATATAAAGGCTTCCTTTGCATGAGAACCATTAGGCAGGTTGTCATCGAGGACATAGAACCACGTCTGTCAAATTACTATTATTTATCAATTTTTACCAAGAAATGGGTACGACATCTGACCGATTCGGTAAGTTATTCGCTTGCCAAGTTTGTCTATATACTTGTTGATAATTTTACTGTTTCTCTACTTGTGCGGCATCTCGTCTCGTCACGCTGAAGTCAAAGCTCGCTTACATTCCAATTAGGCAAAAGGAAGTACTTGTATTTCTTAGTTATTTATTTGTGAATACGGAATTCAGTGAAGGATCAGCTAAGTTCTGCAATTCATACAATTGATGGCTTAGCCTAGTTACAATTAAAGTGAAAAAGATCTTAACACTACGACAATTTATATGTACCTATAAGAAATACATAGCGTGAACAACATTACTCATAAAACACACCCACAACTTAACATGAATCAGCACGTTGGTAGACGCAGCTCGTTAATAGAATTTAAATTTTAGTTTAAGTGCAACGTCGGCAGTTGACGAGCATTACGAAGAGTACTCTTAATGGAGACAACAAGGTTAGATAACGAAATTCGATCATAAACCTGGTTTAAAATATTACAGAAGACCCTAAGTTCATAATTTAATCTTCATTGGCTAAGTTTTATAAAAGGAAAATTCATTGTCACGCGGATAAAAACATTAAAATTGACCTCACCTCTAACAAAATCGGCAAGTCGATGATGCCATTAAACAACTTTATCATGAACTTAAGCTATAAGAAGCGACCTGCTTTCATAAGAAGAAAAAGGGACACGTAGATTCCAACCAAAATTTCTTAGAACAAAAAGCAGAAACAGCTTCTGCCCAGTTTCTATGGAATTCACATGGCGACGATACCCACACGACACGTTTTACAATTCCCTCTACAGTCTCTTAGCATATGTCCTCCATGCGTGGCCCATGGCACAGTGGGGACCAGAAAGAAGTGATCATAGAGAAAGAGATCGAGACTTATGGCCCGCAACCTAATGAATGTAATATGAATCGTACTAAGAATTTCTATCATGGCCTTTTAAGTGATTATGCGGCTAAAAAAAAGAGGTCCTCTTAGCGGAATGCAATTTGAACCAATTTGTTTCACGCCGATAGAAATTTCAATTCTTCCCATCGCCCAAGTGTCAGGGCTGCTAAGACAAAGAAGACATCTAGGTTCTTATCTCTTAACCTCATAGATCGAGCTTCAAATGATATACGATATACCTGTGAACATGCAAACTAATACTATGAATATAAAAGACTCGCTTTCAAGCGAATAAAATTTTCTTACTTGGTTTGCATAGTTTATTAAAAACTTATGCAATATTTGCATGTAATTAACAGTGACATTTAAAATATATTGATGCAAGCAGTAAGTCAGACGTTGCAATCGTAGATCATGAAATATGAAATCTAAGTGCAAGCGTGTATTACTTGTGTAGTTGACAACATAAGCATCACTTCACACTAGCTGACCAAAATCAATCGATCATAATAGCATATACAACAACTATTTCCAACCTGTGCATACATGCACTTATAACTTATGTAAATATTTTTCGCGAAATATTAATCATATTACCCGGGGCACTCTTGTGCCTACATGCGCATGCATATAATAAGATTTATTAAAAACTAAAAGAATAAATTTGTATACAATGAACATATGACTGCAAGTAATGCAGAGAATATCGATTCAAAACGCATCGATTCAAGCGACAATGCGAAATCCAGTAATATACTATAATAAAACAGAGACCTGTCTACCGTAAAAACTCTTTTTTTTTTTTTGCTGAGTCTTTGGTCTCGCTTCTCTAAAATAAGAAAGTCACCAAAAAAATTAAAGCTAAAGAGAACCTACGTTTAATAAACACACATACATATGTGTACGTAAACAGAGAGCTTGTTTGTTTGCTGGTTGACGGGTCTAACTCATACAAACGAAAGCAAAACCGAATAAGAAATCGAAAAAAAAGAAAAAAAAAAAAAAAACGCTAATCTAACTGAGCCATAAGCGTAGTAGTAGTCACATAGTTTGCGATCATATACACATATAAGAGTCTCAGTTAAGCTAAATTGAACTTTAGGTAAGTCAGTCGTTAGTTGCTTTAAACACGTTAAAGGTGTCGTACGTTAGCTTGTAAACAGTAAAAACATACAGTAGAAGACATTATTAACTTACCCTCACTAACGTATAAATTCGCTTTCAAAGAATTATCAAATCCAGTGGTGGTAACGTGTGCGAGACTTTATATGAGTGGATGAATGACTTGACCAAAGGCGCTTAGGCAAACGCAGCAATTACTAAATCAGTTGCAATTCTAGCAGCTTTACTAACGGTACAAGTCACTTTATCAAACGGACGCTATAACGTAAGGAGTAACAAATCAAAACTATCGCACACTTATGTGTCTTAATGTATTTTTAATAAAAAAAATATATATAGCTTATTTTTAATAATCAATAATAATAGTTTAAATTGAAAAAATAAAACAAATTTAAAAAAGTTGCCAAATTTTTAAAAAGAATTATAATCTAACGCAAATCAATGCCAAATCTTTTGCAATAATTTAAAAGGCTCTGCAGAAAATTAACCAAAAAAAAAAAAAAACAAAAAGAATAAATAAAAAAATATATATATGAAAATACAAACTTACTTACCCTCTTAGGTATGTGTTTAGAGTATAGTAGTACTACGAATGATTTAAACAGTAATGCAATCAAATATTGAATTAATTAATTATTACAATCTAACCAATCAAGGCTAAAAATCTAAAATAAATATAAAGAAAAAAAGGAAAAAAAACAAACAAACAAACAAACAAACAAACAAACTAAACAAACGGTATTGTAACTCTTAAAATGAAATAAAAAAGATTAATGTCTCTATAAGCGTATGCATAGGCAAATGCGTGTGCGTTTGGCATATATGGGTTTGTGTGTGCATTTGTGTGTTCTTGCGCGCAAACGTATTTACATAAGAGTTCACTTTAATGTCAACTTTTTTTTTATTTTTTTTTTTTATGCTATTGTATCTCATATTAAGCAAATCAATTACTTTAACATGTGCGTGTATATGCTGTTGTTATCGATGTTGTTGCAGTTGTTGTTGTTCTTGTTGTTCTTGTTGCATGTTTTTCTATTTTTCTTGTAATATTGTGGGTATACTTCTATGCTCGACGAAGTAACGATAATTATCATCCCCGCAAAAAAAAAAAAAAAAAAAAAACCAGTGTCATTTCAACCACAACCTTATATTGAAAGAAAAATTACTCTAACCACCGAAGCTTAATATCTCTCGACTTATATTTTTTTTTTTTTTTTTTTTTTTTTTTTTTTTAAGCCAACAACGTACTATGAAAACGTCTCTTACGCTGCCGTAACTTTGTTGATTTAACTGTCTGTCTGTCTGTGCAAAGCATTTGCGCATGCTGCCTGCAGATAAGAAGAAAAAAAAAATGTAATAATAATAACAAATAAGAAAATCTAGTCTAGTAACATTCCAGGAACGCAAAGTACTACACTTAACCATTTATTGTTGTTGTTTGTGCTGCTCTTGCTGCCGCTGTGACTGCTGCAGCTACTGCTACTGCTGTCGTTGTTGTTATTAAAAGGTGTCTAAAGTGTCCAGTCTGGTCTGTTCTATCTGACGACAATTTTAACTGGTTAGCCATCGGGCCTGATGTGTCCATGCATTAAATATGTATGAAATACATGCATATGTATATATATATATATATGTTTATACATAATTAAGCATACGATTGCATAGGAGGTTCTGCGGTTACATATATGCATAAGTGTAAAGGTCAAATGCAGAAATATTTATTCTCTATATGTATGCGTATGTACATATAAGTTAAATAAATATATATATAAAACTATATTTATAACCTTATATGTATAGATTCATTTACATATATATAGACATAAATGTATGCATATATGTGCATGTTCAACATATACTGTATCTCTACATATGCATGTACGTGCATTTTTTCTCATATTGACCAATAAACAAATCTAATGCGATTTAACAATAAACAAAAGTCGAGATTTTATGCTACTTATAGCAAAATTAGTTTTCTTAGATTCAATCGTGCGCTTAATATGTTAACTGTATGATATCATCATCAGTTTTATTTTCAAAACATTCAGAGATGAATAGTTGCATGCATTACAAAAGACTAGATTAACTAAAACACTGTACGCATCGCATCGCATCGCATCGCATCGCATCGCTATTGCATTTCATATAATCACAATGCCATGGTTTCCCAACGATTCATGTTATATCTAACCACTAAAAGTTATATGGACGTTGCCGCAAATAGTTGCCGCAAATGTTTGCCGCTGAAATGCATGTTGCTACCAACAAAATTACCGCAAACGCAACACTCATTGTTAATTTTCAAACGTATCAGCAGCACCTCGATTAAAATTATGGTTTTTATAGTTTTGCTTAAGCAATTTTATCGTTATGTTTATCGGCATAGCACACTCAAGTTCTCTATACGTGTTCTTTGTTTCCTTTTCTTCGCCTCTACTTGTAATTGTTTTTGATTAATGCCGGGCTTATCTGGCTACCGAGAAAGAAGGTCTATCTGTGCATGCAAACCGACAATCCTTATATGTCAACTCCTATAAAAGATGAACAAGCACACATTGCAATAATTCAATATGCGTTCTATTCATAATTTTGCGATTTTAACGCTTGACGAATGACGGAGCAAAAGACCACGACGCGCCTGCGCCATGATCTTACCATGACTAAAATTTTACTACCATGAATACGGGAAGGCTGATGGGAGGAAGCAAAGACCACCAAATATGGACGGCAGACGAACATCGACGAGAGAACAAAAGAATTAATGAAAGACCGAATAAGCAATAATGAGGCAAGTAGTTCACTTTCAGTTGATATTTTTACGGTTATTAGCGAGCAAAAGACGAAGTTGACTATATCGCTCCACAATTCTAGGAAAAGACGGACGGACCGCCAGATATCACTATAGTTCAATATGCTTTCTCATATATTGACAATGTCAGCAGCAAACGAATCAAGAAGCAAAAGACTAACGAACGCTTAGACCAAGGGAAAGCGAAAGCCAAAGCGGCAAAGAATAGACATTAGAATGTGGACGAAAAACGAATATCCACGAAGAAAGGAATGAAAAGCATACTGAACGAATAAACAAGAATCGAACTAGTGGCCCATATTTCGAAATTCAATTGAAATTTTTGCAATCGACCGAAAGAGGGGCATGATTATATCGTTTCATAATTTTACTGACTTTGATTACCAAATTCTCTTTTTACATTTTTCTTTTTTTCGTTCAAAATTCCAATCTTAAGTAAAACAGAAGAGAGAGAATTGTGATCATATTGAAGCAATTATGAAATGAGCATTAACTGGATTTAACAAAATGTTTGAGAACCGATGTCCCAAATAAATATTTAGTAACGAAGATGCAATGTTTGCAAACAAGCTCTCATCGCATATACATATAAATCAATAGATGTCACAATACAACTGAACCATTTGACTTTTAAAATTAATCGAAGAATTGGACACTTGTTTGCAAGCAAATATGGTGAATTCGTTGCAAAAGACGACGAAAGTGAATGGTGAACGGTCTACAATTGCTTATCTGTCTGGCAATTAAAGAAATCGTAGCTTTCGACAAAAGGCATGAGGAAGGATGGCAGAAGATCATTTTTATTCTTCAGAAAATCTTAAGAAATTGATTGAATGCTAGCCTTGCTCTTGTTTGGAAAGAAGTTTTTCACTTTCAAAATATTTTAAAAAATTTTCCTGACCGTATTCTTCCCTTTGGAAGAATATGTAGAAAAATCCTCAACCCTGATAGGTCAATTCTAGTGTCAGCACAAAAAAATTAAAGACGATACGTCTCATGAATTCATTCTATTTAGACAAAGCATAGTTAAGCCGATTCATAACAAGGACGCTATAAAGCATATACAAGAAGAAAAGCAAAGAGCTGAAAAAAAAACTCCGGTAACTTATAATTGTACGTCATAAAAGCGGTCTAAAGCGTGGCATTATTATGCGGTAGAATAGTTTAAGAGTTTGCGTAAAATTAGTAAAAAAAAATAATGAAAGAAAATTTAAAGAACTCTAAAGATTAACAAAATCGGCTGTGTCTGTGAATTACGCTCTACCTAGGTTAGTGAAAATCATCCCATAAAAATTATCTATGAATCAATTAAGATCATCCGATCCCATCCACTCCGATTCGTACCATTAAGAACAAGGTTGGTTCTTGGACCGAAATACTTCGTTGTATCAAATTTCATGAAAATATTTTAGAAATCGCGTCTTGTAGATTGTATCCAGGAGGCAGACAGACAGAGAAGCTGAGATCGCTTCAATCGGTGAATCTAACTCATATCCTTCTTTCTTCTTCTTCTTATATCCGCACTAACTTGATATACTCTTGCACCACAAGTTATGTAGGATCTAAAAATCACCGCTTGTATTACCAGTGCGTAGTCAGTATTGTACGGGTACACGGTAGAGCAATCTAAAAAAGGAATTTTTGACAATTTTTTTTTTTTTTTTTTTGGATGGAAGAAAACGCAATGGAACAACAATATTTGAAAAAAGATTTCCCCTTTGTTAACAGACAAGTAAGAGAAGTTATATTCGGCTGGAGACGAATCTCGCATACCCACCAACATTAAAATGTTTGATCCCGTATTTCATTTCTCTCATTTATTGTTTTAAAAAAATGAATGGAAACACGTGAAACGCTTCGCAGATGGACAGACATGGCTAAGTCAATTCACAATTTCACGCTGATCAAGAATATATTTACTTTATAGTCCATGAAGCCTCCATTTGGGCGTTTGGACGGGGTGAACAGTGGTGGCTGTAAAATTATCCTAAGTATTTTTCTAGAAAATGTTTCTCGTTTTTCGAAAAGACAAATAATTATAACGTGTGGTAAGGGTAATTGAATTAACTAGTGAAATTCTTAAGATCATCGGTGTTTTACTGAATGGATCAGGGCAACGCAAGAGCTATATTTTTTGTTAGAACCAGTCTGAACAAGACTGACTGTCTAATGTTTGAACTCGTTTGAAAGAACTTATTCGGTTCTTTAGCGATCAAAGACGCAAAAAGATCGATTTTATGAAATAGTTTTTTTGGTACTTCTTGATAAACCTGACTACCCATGACACTTAAACCGAAGGCTGCACAGCGTACAACAAGTAACAAAATTGCATACGGCTTTAGTCGAATCTTTTTTATCCATCACCCTTATGCTAAAATAGAAAATGCAAATATTTATTTTATTTATTGTTATTTTCACTTTGTGTTGCACTGTGGGCGTGTCGCATGACCGATATGGGCAGTTTCCAACACCAACGTGTACCAACTTTTTCTAAATTTGATGTCAATATCAATAGGTTTGCGACCAGAAGAATATTTACCGCGGAGACGCTGACGGACGGACATGCTTAATTCAAGAATATTGCTACTTTAAGCCTCCTTCGAGATATTTCAAACGTGTTGATCAAATTAATAAACCAAAATGTTTCGGTTGTTGTGTGTGAAAAAACCGATCTGCTTGAGGAAGGAAAGGAAAGAAAATACTCTTACAATCGTCAAATTGCAAAAATTGCTGCAATATTTTCAATATTCATCGAACCTAGGTGGCTCTCATCTGAAGTTTTTCTTGCACAACAATGAATCAATCAAGAGCAGTGCAGAAGTACTTTGATGCGTTTGGGGAAATGAGATAAAAATTTGAAAAATCTTTAAGAAGTTTTGTCGAATTTAAGTGAAACGGAATTGAAGAATGAATTCATTTGTTCATTAATGAAGACAACTTTGTCTTATATCAGTTGCCTAATTTTACAAAGTGATTGGTTTAATAATTTCCCAAAAATTGTGCTTACAGACGCATGATTATATAAAATTTTGTTAAAAATCTTTATCGATGATAGCATAATAATTTGTAAGCGTTAGATGAAGAATAGAGTTAATCTAACAATTTCTTTTGTTATTATTTTAATAGTCTAAGATAACGAGGGCTATTAATTTTTGTCCGATCTTGTAAAGAGTCGACATAATACGAGCATGAGCATGAACATCTTTCAATGGACACGCAATCGCACAAACTTGTTAATGTTGTTGCACAGACTGGCACGCATAGATATACAAAATATTATTCTCAGTAGATGTATATTAAAAACCATCGAAACGATGGAACATCTCGCTCTGCTTTAGCGCTTTTAGACGAAGCAATTACTCAGCGTTGGCGTCGTAATTCTCTTCCAAAAGCCTAATTGCGAAGTGTTTTTTTTTTTGTTTTTTTTATTTTTCCTTCTTCTTTTTGCAGCGCTTGGGAATTTGACATTAACAAAGATCACAGATTGCATCTTAAAGCACAATAACAACAACGGCAACAGTAACAAGTACAAAATTGTTTTTGTTTCTTTTTTTTTTTCAACAATTACTAAATACGAAAAGCAACAATAATAGGCAGTGAGTGCAGTAACTGTACCCTTTAGATGACTCTTATAAATCGCTGACATTTCCTCAACGTAAACAACTCTTTACTTCGCGAAACGATTTATGTAACATTTCCAAAAAAAAAAAAAAGCATACATTTGAAGAAACGTCCAGATATGCATGTAACTGAATGTAATTTAAAGGATAATGCTTAATAGTGTAACGAAAGCATGAGTTCAGAGCAAATTGATTTAAGCGGCTGCCCCCCACCACCAATAAAAGGCTTAAGGCGGCAACCCACGAAATATCCACACGGTTTATGCGTGAATATACAAAGTCTTAGCAGTGATGACGAGCGCTCAGTTAATTACTCAAGAGCTTCAACGTTGCGCCAAACTCCTAATAACGATAACAATCAACCTTCAGGCAAATATCAACTCAATGGAAATGCAAACGATTCTGACAATCTGACGCATTTGCAGGTGCAGCCTTACAAATACCCGCTAACCGATAATTACAGTAAAACCTCCCATGCGCAAAGCGATATAAGTAAATCATCATTACTCATCCTTGATTATGCAAAAGACTATTGCAAATGGAAATGTCTTCGTTGGCCATTAATCTTTTTCGCTAGCGTTTTAATTTTCTTTGGACTGATTACCTATTGTATATGGTTGCATGACGTTAGCGTAGCTAGAGAGCGTTATTTACAGTTTCGTCAACACTTTGTTGACACCGCAAGAAGTGATAATTTAAGCATAACAACAAGCACAGAGGCCACAGATAGCTTAACAAATCCCACTACAGAAAATAGAAATCATGGTGTTCGGGAATCAACGATTTTAAGAGCGATAGGTACAAGAGCGCGTAATAGTCCCAGAGAACAAAAATTAACAACAGTAGACTATAGTCATACGAAAGGTGCAGGAGACTGGGTGAAACATCAACCGGGCGATGAGGAAACCTTTGTAGAGAGTACAACCTTAATTTCAGAAGAAGCCGCCTTAGCACCTGTCAATGTTATTAGATTTACTTCTGGCCATCAAAACAGTTTCGGTGTACCGATTGAAGATGACGAACGCATCTTAAGATTGTTAAATGGGGTAATTAATTAATGAGAGAAACGCGTTTACATTCGGAACTGTTTTTAAGCAAAGTATTTCACTTTCTTCACAGCTATTCTCTTCAAACGAACCTTCTACTATTCCTACGAGAGCTGCAATGGTGAAAGTATCACCCACTATACCACCGTTAAAACGCGACAAATCGACTGATCCTACCATACCATTAACTAAATCCTACATACAAGACAATCGTTGTTATTCGACTTCATTGGAAATGTGCCAAGGAGTGCTCGACTATGATTTGACCTACAATACTTCGTATCAGCTAACTGAAAGCGAATTGCAGGACTATCAAAGCTTAGTGCAATCGAATTGTTCCGTTCGTGCAGTTGAATTTATTTGTGCAGTTTTACAACCCGAATGCCGACCCTCACATATCGGTGTACTGCCACCTTGTCGGAGAATTTGCAAAGGTTGCTCTTTAGTCTTCAAACAAAAATTTTACCCCAAACTAATTACATTTTGATTGCAGCCGTTTTGGAAGCTTGTTCCGAAATTATTGCCAATTCGGACACCTTGACTGCTACCTTTGATTGCAGTCTTTATCCTGATTCAAATGACTTTCTTCGCTGTGAAGATTCTACCAGACGTAGGGGTTACTGTTATGCGAACGAATTCGAATGCTACGATCGTTCGTGTATACCGCTGCAATGGCAATGTGATAATATAAAAGATTGTGCCGCTGGAGAGGATGAAAGTGAATGCTTGATATGCGACCAGCCAGACGAATTTCGCTGTCGATCGAATGAGAAATGCATACCGGGTTCGGCACGGTGTAATTTAAGTTACGATTGTTTTGACGGTTCCGATGAAGACGATTGCAGTGGCTACGATGCGAACAATTCCCAAGGCCTAGAATTTGATGAAGCGGATCTAAACTCTTTTCCACGTGTCTTTTCTTACGCTAGTTTCTTGTCACCCAATCAAACCAACAATAATTTCACATATTTCACAGCACACATGGACGATGAATCAGGTATAAAAATAAAAGCGGATGCAATTACGAATAGCAGTAGCGGCGTAGCACAGACCGAAGTCACCAATAGCGTACCAGGCGAAAATTTGAGAGGATTCGGTAAGTTATAAGATTTGCTTTTCTAACAATAAAAGCAAATCAGAAAATTAGATTCAATTGCAACCGAATCTTTTATACCCATCACGGCTAGGGAACTAAATTTCCTTACTTTATTGTATTGGGTGGCCGAGGTCGATTTTTTCTATTTTCAGAATAAAAATGGAAGTTTGTGCGGTATACGTGTTGCAGTTTGTGAGTGGGAAGCAAACAATACGGAAAGCAAAGGTGTTCACAATTTTTGTTGCATACGCGTGTTGGCGTTACAAGTGTGTGTTCAAATTTAAGGCGATTTTGAAGCTTGCTTCTGTGCGTTTTAAAGGTATTGGACAAAAAATTATATTTGATACGCTCTAATATTGGGTACGCGTGTCATGTCTGTGGCACACATTCACCCGTTCGAAAAGAATCGCCTGCATCGCCTACCAAGCTGCAAAAGGGTTTGTAAGTAGTCCAAACACGGCAAAGAATACGCCTACAACGCCCGTTTGCCTATGCACGAAAAATTAAGGAGTCCTTTGCCTTCCGTGTCTTTTGCTCATTACTCACAAACTAAAGCGGATACGCTTTATAAATTTTCAAAAAATTATTCTACAAAAATAGAAAATAACAGCCACACCCACAAAATATTGTAAAATATGTAAAAATTTATATTTTTCTTTTTCTCAGTCTTCTATTGGATAACGGTGATGGGTATTAAAAGATTCGGTAACAATCGAATATAATTTTTTTTAATTTTCTTACTTGTTTTCAAACAATTTAATATATATTACACAATATAAGTTTTATACCGATCTGTTAATTGATTTCACAAAATCTATTATTATTATTACTATTATTATATATTGAGCACTAGCATCTAAGGCTATCGGCTTTTATTAAAAACTCTACCGCACTTGAGATTTGAACCCACGACCATTGAGTTGCTAATTGAGACTCTTGCTTACTCGGCCACTCAGGCGGATTGGAAAATCCAATATCGGTATCGATACTATGTACGAGGGTTCAAGTGTCAGTTTTCTATCTTAGTTATTGGAACCCGATAAGGTGTACAAATATGGCAGATTCAGAACTGATTGCTGATCAAGAACATAATCAAAAACTATGTACCCATTTCAGCGCATTAGAATCGAAACAATTCATCTTTCACTAACGAACAGCTTAAGAAATTACTAAGGTCAGGGAACTTTTGTTTGGCTTGGACTGTATATTTTCCATCCAACATCGAATTATATCAAAGGAAGGAATGCCTATATGCTATATATATGCTTGATTTCGAGTGCAAAATAGAGCAAAACTTTGTGTTCTCTTTTTTCAATACGACCAATCATTCAGTGCCTGAGGTCCCCTGTACTTGCAACATGTTGATGGCCCAAAAGAAGGGAGGAAAGAAAACAGGACAATAAGATAAGTGTTTTGCCTTCATGGACTGAAGGTACACTGCAGCTATGAAAGTAAAGTCTACCGCACGTAGATTTCAACCCACTAAGTTAGTAGTCGTGATTCTTACCTACTCGGGTGCTCTTACGGATTACTATACTTCACGACATTTGCGAATTTGTGGTATATGAGATCATGTTTTCCATTGACAGCAGTTAGTTATATAAACTATAAAATCTTATTTACGTACATATTATATTTTGTGCTCATTTCAAAGTTTGCCTGACGAGAGTAAGAAAGGGAAGATTTAAAATGATCGGGCATGGCTAAACCTTTACTTTAGTCCCAGCCAGTCGGTAAAGGCATAAGCTTTTCCAATTGAGCCCACTATCACGAGGCTGCGACCACCACATCTCTATTCGTTTCTCTTTCCTCATCTTTCTTCCCGATTTCTCTTCGGTCGTCACCGCATTAGACAAATAGGGGACATACCTTCTTGTGCTTGATTATGCTTAAAAAAAGAAAGAAAAAAAGCGAATGCATTGCACAAGAATAATATTCACATTAGGTATAGAGTCTCGACATTTGTATGCGTTACAGGCATTTGAAAAATCCAATATGCGGATATAAATATATGGATATAAAAACGAGAATTGATTTAGACATCGTGCCAGTAATTGACATAAAAAAATTCCTTCCTTCTCGTTACGTTATGACATTACGATAAGGTGTTTTAGAGATATATCTTTTCATCACTTTATATATTTTTTAATGTTTTGTATACACATTTAATTGCTTTTTTTTTGAAAGTTGTTTTTGGAATGAAAAACACATATATACACACATTCGGGTAATTAAAATGCACATAAACGCAAAATTAGACAGAAAACTCTTCAACAGAATATAAAACTATTTTCTATATGTGATACAAGTGTGAACCGTTGATGAAGACGTAATGCCCTCCCTACACTTAACATTTGATTAATACAAATAGTACCGCACTCTTAGATAACATAGCAACAGCAAATGAAAAGACTGATGTGATAATTTTGTTTGACTATCTCCTAACTATGCAACCGGGTTAATTGCGCTCTACGACTTTCCCCAGATTTTACTGATAAACCAGATTCTTCATTTATATTCAGATAACGGCGATTAAAATCAGCTGTGCAGTATTTAACGCAATTAACAAGAAATTAGTTGCACCCAGTTCGTTAGGCTCTCTGACACTTAGCAGTTTGTGCGATTTGAGCTTCAAAACCACATCGCGAACATTCCTCGAGTCTCTGAACGTACTGGACATCATCATTAATGTCTACGTAACCGCTCTCTAAATGGAATAAATTATTCTTTGTACACTAGTAAAATGTAGGGTATCTTAAGTTGAGGCGGATGTATAGAACGCTTAGAACGCGACATAAGACAGAATTCCATTTTTAATTCCGATCGATCCAGAATCATTTTCCGGTCAAGTTCAAGTTTCACAACATAAGTCTTTCTCAACCAATTCGAAAATTATTGTTCAATGAAAAGTTATGTGTTCAAAAAAGGCGGTTATTATTAGTGGACAGTCATTAAAATAAAACTGAGCAATTTTCAGAAATAAGTAAAATTTTTTTTTGTTTCATCATATCTATATTTAAAACACTGCCGCCTTACTTCGTCCAGATATTCGGATGTAAAGTGGATTGAGTTTTGTTCAATCCAGTCTGTTGACTGTTTTAGAAACTCTAGAAATGAAAAAAAATATGAACCAGACCATGTTTCAAAATATTCTTGGCCCACCTATAATTGCTAAAAAAATTTAAGGCCTCAATAAAAAATGAAAAGTCTTAAAAATAACGATATAGTTGGTTAAGAAATAGACAAAAACATGAAAAAAGTGGAAGATTTCGTGCCAGAAACGGTGCCTTTAGATTTATTTAAGATGTGGGGGATTCAACCCACCGTAACGGTTTTATGCCCTACATCACTTATATCACAAAGTATACAAGGCATATTAAGTTTCTGCGAACTAGCACCCAGAACGACTTGGGATAGATACATTTCTTATTCGATCGAACTTGTCTGCCCATCTCAGCTTCAACGTGCAGTTCTAAGCTTTTGAGATATTTTGATAAAATTTAATACACTGACGTGTTTTGGCTCAAGAGCGAACGATATTGAAAATTCTTCGGATCAGATCACTTTTTCGAACACCTACGATGTAACGCCTCACTTGGAGATTTTGTTATATGAATGCCTGCAAGGTGATGTAGAGTCTTAAATGGTCTGCTGTGGCTCACCATAGTGTTTTTACTTGTTTTAATCAAAGTTTGAAAGTTATTTTCCCCTTAAACGGCGTTAAATTGCTAGCCGACGTTATTTGAAAAAAAAAATAAAAAAACGAAAAGAAAAGCATAAAATAAATTTTTAAAAGACTTTTTTGCTATTCATCTCATATAATTTTTTTTAGTAAATTTTCGTGATAGCAAAGAAATTATGATGACAAGCGATACGGAAAATAAATTTAAATATTCTTCAACAAATACGAGTCGTTCGTCTAGTAAATATTCTGCAATCACAACACCTTTAAAGCCATTAAATACACGAACACTTGCGGCTATTAGCACCACCGAAACTACGAAAGCGCCAAGTACTTCATGCGGTTTACATCATTTGCGTTGTGTAAGCGGACAATGCATAACTGTCGATCAGTTATGCGATAAGGTAATAAATAAACAAAAAATGAACAACCGTTTTAAAGCAATACACTATTTGTGTATTTATGACATGCTTTTAAATATCTTCTCTTCTCCTTTGCGTTTACAGAAAAAGGATTGTCCAGATGGTTTCGATGAGCTTATGTGTATCTATAAAGATAATGCAGAAGTAACAACAACAAAAAAGTATAACAATTTTATGTTAGCCACAAGTATTGCAACTTCAACCTCAAGCTCGAATTTAGCAAAAAACAACAACAACACCAGCAATAATAATAATAATAATAATACCTTGCGCAACGATAAACGTACGATACGAACTACTACGATTAAGCGCAAACTAAAAACTTGACCAAATTGTGATCGATATGAAAGAAAATTCACCAGTGATTAAAAATCAATCATTTGATAAAAATGTACATACATATATACATATATAAATATATTCATTAGCATGTGTGCATATTCTATTCTAACTTATTCAACTATACACATTTATTGTATCGCGAATATATTTACCACATATACCTACCTATACATATATGCATACGTTTATCTCTTCCCAATTTTCAATAATATAACACACGTTTTTAATATATATAGAAAAATTGATGATGTGTTTCTTAATTAAAAAAAAAAAAAAAATACAAAAATACAAAAATAAACAACAGTTGTTCTCACTCAAAGTGAATGCAAAACACTTTCCCAATTCCATATATGAAAACTATTCAGCGAAAAAGTTTGCATATATTGTACAATGTTCTAAACTCTCTTATCAAAGAGACGTTCGTGTTAACTAGCACTTAAAAAGGTATTTACAAAACATCAACAAATAGGTTCATAGCCTCACTAATAAAACAACAACTGTTATGCAAAATTTGATAATAATCGCAACACAACCTTGTTTGACAGTAATACCATCGCTTCCCTACCATTTCTATGCACTTCTTATGGAAGGTAATACCCTTCAGTTTCGTCGATCACCTCTTTCTTCATTGGGGTCACATCTCTTGCCGGCGCTCATTTTTTTTGGAGATTCAATATCGATTCAATTGACATCGAGTGGAAAAATCCTTTTTAGTTTGCCTAAGCAGCCCCCAAACATCGCTCTGAATTATCAGCACGTTGCTATTTTCGTTCAAAAGTGAGCAAACACGATACCCATATCGAAGATAGATTTCTCGTAGACAAATGTTTGTGCATTCTGAGATCATTAAGGAGCAACTTTACTTTTTGGTGATTCAAAACGATTTGGTCACTTACTCTATGTCTTTTCGAACATTCGCCAAATCCGGCTGCCAAGACCTTCACTTCACTTTATTTAGAGTTAATCATCCACAAATTTATTTTCTTGACAGACAAGAATCACCAGAGCATCTTTCAAGCCAACGCTGACCGTGATCTCTACTTTTACCCATTAAAAAGCGACGCTTTGCCAAGACAAGAAATTCAAAGTGTTTCGGTTATTTTAAAAGTTACACAAGTAGCATCACTAAAGCAATCGCAACTTTTAAGCTAATTGTGAGACTGCCATGAAGTTCGTTTAAAAGTGGATACTATCTAAAGATCATATGCATCCCTCAATAGTGGCGATATCTATATGCCTTGCTACGAACTTATTGACTGATGTGGTATTACCTGTGTTTACCTAATTTGTCGTACAGTGATTGTGCGTTTTGCAGCTGTTGCAGCAACAACACCTTTTAGAAGTACAGCATCTACGATGTAGGTATGGCCTAACTGCTACCACATACCGGCCCATTTCACTAAAGTGAAAATCGGCAGCAATCGTCTTACGCTCCAATTTCCCAATAACTAATTCGTTGATTTCCATAGAATTTATATACTATTAAAACTACTCTATCCATATTCGCACCATGAATGTTTACTAATTAAATATTCTCCTTATGCTATCCCTAACGAGATAAATAGAGAGAAACCAATCGATCTGCTGACAAGTCTATAGTCATAGTATCATGAAAACTTGCGAATAAAAGAAGTGAAGAGCATGATAAGCATCTGTTATCACAATTTCTACTCAGTGTACTCGAAAATAGCTCTTACCACAAACATTTCCGTGTATCATGTACGTCAAATGACTTTCAATGCGTTTTTGTGCCAGCTCGGTATTCGATAACGAAAGCAATAGGTGATGTGTATGTGGCGATTATATTATGTCACCAACCTGGAACTTCAGTGAATAAAGCAGCTCTCTTGAATGCCTCTCTTCAGGATAGTCATCCATCCATGTGGAGCGTTAAGCGACACAATACTCACTCCATTTGTCATCCGGGACAGTAGAAGTAAACTTAAAATGCCACGCCAAACTAATGGTGACATCTCCCCGAAGTATATAGTAATTTCAGTTACTAACGACAACTTGGGAAGTAAGTGTTTTGAAGCGTACATGCAAAATCCGTAATTGAGTCCTAAATTGTTCAGACATTAATAAAAACTAAGCTTAGATAGAAGCGAATTGATTAATGTAGGCCTTCTACTTCAAGTTCACGCACTATTATCACAGTGAAGGATGCTTCTGCCTATAATCTGTTTATAATAATAATAATGGTTAAAAATCTTGCCTTAGATCTCGTAAAAGGTGATAATAGGTGTACGGGAATATTCCATTCGTTCCGGTCACAACGAGTTTGAACAAGTATATGCGTATTCATTTGACGCACATACTGTGAGGACCCAAAGTCATCCCTCGTTTTGGCCTCACGGGTTCTGCGTCTCTGGCGGAGAGAGATAGGGAGTGTTAGCTTAAGTTAGAGAGTAAGTTAGCATAGGAATAGGATAGCTATAGAATAAGAATAGAATAAGAATAGGATAGCCTTAGAATAAGAATAGAATAGGAATAGGATAGACATAGAAGAAGAATAGAATAAGAATAGGGTTAGGGATAAAATAAGAATAGAGTAAGGCTAGGGTAGAGTAGAATAAGTGAGTCGTAATTTAAGCCTAGACGCTCGGTGAAGAGAGTTTTTTTTAGTCATCGTTGAGTTTAGTTGGAAATCGGATAAGAAGAGCGAAATATAAAACCGAGCAATAAAGGTCCCTGTAACAAATAAATGTCTTTGTGCTTTCCTGGGCCGCTGAGCTACCCCAGCCACAGATTATGGGCCGAAAAGGCCTCACAATACATACACGCTGATCCAGCAAATGAACTCCAACGGAGGTGATTCATGTTAGTATTAAGTGAGACACAATTGTGCACCCATGGCCACTAATGAGATTCGCTTACGCCAGCGTATTTTGTATGAATTCAAAGAAAAAATCAAAATTTGGATGACATTGCTAAATCGCTTTTTTGACCACGTCGGAGTTTGCGAAAAAACTTGATTCAGGGCAGTACAACATTTCGTAAGCGATTCGAAACTAGAATTCTAAAAACGGACAGAACTTCCCCGTCGGCCTAATAGTTTAGGCGTTTCGTTCATAAAATCCTAAAAATCTGTTAAAGCTCGCGCAGCAAAAGATATATTCCGGGAAGAATCAACAATGACTAAGATGAAAGATATCAATCTGAAGCTTTACCGCGGTCGAATCATCCATCAGAAATGAAAAACACTGCGTTTTTTCGATAAGGTTGTGATGAAATTTGTCCTTAGACTTCTTACATGCTTTACGCAGAGTTTTGCTTTGTCATTACTTAACTTAAGATCCGGAGAACATCTTCCTTACATTTAGAGATGTAATTAAAAAAAAAAAATCTTCTATAGATCAGATCTTTTTTTTTGTTTTTATTATTGAATTTCATAAATTTTAACAACAATTGTTATATATGAATATATTAGTATTTATGTAGTATTTATATGTTTTATTTTGTTTTTTTCATTCTCATCTTTCTTTATGATATTTACTTGTACATTTGAGCACATAATGACTTTTAAAATAACTTAGCAACTAAATTTTTTAAGCATTTCGATTATTTTATTAAAGTTTTAATAACCAGCTGATTAGCTAACAATACCCTTTATTGTCCTTCTGTTCGGATTTGATGGTTTTCTTTTTTCTTTTTTTTTTTTTTTTGCTTTTTTGGAATAAACATTTCTATACATTTTAGAGGGTATCCAAGATACACATTTTGTTTTTTTTTTTTTTTACCAACATTCTTTAAACCTAATTCAATATATTTAAATAAATGTTTTTCTAATACAAGTCCCAAGAGGATTCAACTAAGCAACTAATCTATTTTTTTTTTGTGATATAATGAACAACATTGACTAAGATCGCTATTATCGAAGACATAATGCTTTGTAATCTCGGCAAGAATCTAATCAATGCGGAAATTTAAGAGTGAGTAAAAATTAAGCCTAGTGTATATGCATTATGTCATTCGCAAGTGAATCACACTATAAATTGATAAGTAAATACGATTATTGAAAGCACATTTGGTTTAGGTTAGAGAACTATTATCTATTGCTTTATGATGCGGAGTCATCCGGTAATTTTTATCATTTGTATCAGTAAGTTAAATAAAACGGGAAATCATTAGTAGTTAAATAAAATTGGGAAATGGTAGCATAAGAATCTGAATCGCCCCCCTCCCGACTCTCTCTCTCTCTCACTCACTCTCCCTCGCTGGTTCTCAACATCCTCCATGCTCCTCACGCAGAGCTGACATTACTTTGTATTGATATTTTCATTTTAGTCCTAAGTGGAAGCGACTGGAAAACATTTCAGAAAACTTTGGAGGGAAATATCAAGATTTTGAAAACATTGTTACTGAAATAATGCTAAACTGAGCAACGGAGAAGTTTTAAGTGGTCGTTAAACTGATAGTGGGTGATTTCGCTAAGGTATGGTATTCTTTATTTTAAATAGATCAACTTTTCCGGTTCTATTAATGTGACTTCAAAATAGTTTCTTTCTTTTTAGAAAACCGAAAAGAAAAACGAAGAAAAGCAAAATTTATTCTGCACGGCATAGCAAACTTGCGAAGCGAAATAAACGCATCCAACTAAATAATTTCGATTCTACGAAGTTATCGTCAATAGTCGATGTCGTCATGCTAACACGCGACAATGAGGAATCTGAAGATTTAATGGCTTCTTTTACTGGTTTAAATGCTGGTGAACCCATAGTTTCTTTTTCCTCTCTTTTTATTACCCGGAATAACCTCTGAAAATAAACAATAGATTTAAGGCAAAAAGTTATATAATATTAAAAAAATGAAAGTCTTGTAAAAGAAACTTATCTCCCCTATTCGCGATAATTTCGCTTAATGGGCACCCAATAAAAGGTTTGATAATATCACTTATGGTACAAGGGCATATTAAGTTTGTGCGAATGTGTGCAAAACCGAGAAACACTTGAGAGAGACACTTCTTTTACGATACCGAGCGATTCAGAACTACGTTCTAAATTGATTTCAAGTTATCCGTCCGTCCGTCCGTCCGTCCGTCCGTCCGTCCGTCTTATTTTCTTGTGTTCAATCTAAAGGCTGCACTTTTGAAATATTTTGATGAAATATGATGCATTGGCGCGCTTTGACGAACGCGATCGAAAATGGTTCCGACCGAGTCACTGCCCATATAACGCCTCATTTTGAACATTCGTCACATGAATACGTATTTGTTCTTGACTGATATGATTCATTATTAATGAAATAAATGATCATAACATAATAAAGCAAAAATAAGCAAAAAAGGATCTAAAGAAGTTGTAATTACGGTAAAAGTTGACCGTTTAAGAAAAAATGAAAAGCTTAAGATTGGAATGGAAATGAAATCAAGTCAATTTGAATTTCTCGGCAATGAGCGTCAACTATAGAATGAGAAGAGTATAAAGCAATTGTCGACTAATAAAATCAAGAAGATATAATGGGGCATCTAATGATACTAATTGAATTTTTCGAAAATTTTGTTCTTTCATATAAAGAGAGAAGTTCAACGTTTTGGCATTCAGCTCTTTTTTTACATGCACAAATACCTTCTTTCTTTTGAATCCTAATCTTGGCAATGTCTTACCGAAAGTTTGATATCAGGAATTATATAAACAAAACAATTCTATAACAGACTTCATAACATCAGAAAAGCTAACACAGGCTGTTAATAAAAGAATAAATTCGTCGTTTGAATCAAATTTGACAGCTCTGCTAGACATATCTGACATATCTACTGACGATAGCATCTTTCATCCAGTCCGTAATAAACGTGTACGCTTGTTATCAAGTAACGATGTTGAGACATTTTGTTATTATTAACAATCTTATTGAGATCTCAACCGCAATCGTAGGACAATATTCACAACAGACATTACACAGACCGACAGACACGTAGACGGACAGGCGAACAATCTTCGGTAATGGCTACAAAAATAATAATATTCTATTAGAAGAATAGATCGTGGCCCTGCTCACTCTCGTCCACTTTAAATCAAACAGATCGAATACCTGTCAAAATTTTTGTGAACTTGGCAGCATTTCAAATATAAACTAAGATCATATTAGTTTATTTCTTGTCTATATATTTTGTAAATAAATTTACAAAGCAAGTATTTAAACGCTGCCGGAGAACTTACATCATAGGTTCGCCTATACCATACACGACAACGGAGTTGTTAGCCGCGATTCTTTGTCTGCTCGGCTACTCATGCGGACCACATTAATTTATTTTTTATAAACATGCTTGTTATACATATGGGTTTCGGTAACGGATGATTAAATTTGAGAGCAAGCCTGGTATTCTAGACGACATTTCGCAATCGTAATAGCAGTTTGAAAAGGCCGTTCCCTTTCCCAAAAAACTATATATCCTACCAAGAGAGAACATGTGAACATAGTTGCATTTATATAAGACGTATATGTTCCAACTTCAGTAAACTTTTCCTTTACTTTACTTTGCATTCGCACTTTTTCTCTTTAGAGATTTTAAAATGTTCGGCGATTTTGTCTTGACAACTAAAGTGAATCAAATCCTTTTAAGGGTTCTTGCTAAGGGATGCGTGTTCTCCTGACAAGGGAACTCCAATATTTTTGCAAGTTACGAATAGAACAGCAAAATAGGTATACTTTTGTATGAGGACGTAAAGCTGAAAGATTTTATTTGGACGAAAAGTTGCAATTGTTTTGCTAGAAATTGTTTGATTAGCTATAATTTTTTCGCGGGAAACTTGTTTGTGTTCTCAGTTTCAATGTCAATTAGAATCATGTACAAGTTTTTCTTTCTCTTGTTTTTTTTTTTTTTTTTTTTTTGCACAATTCATATTAAATTGCCTATGAACATTATTACAGCGGCAAACTACAAATCATAAAGCAATGACAATGACTGATTACGCAATATAACTAATCATGCAGCTCTTTTTTTTTTTTTTTTGAAAAATGAAATGAAAAAGTAACATTGCCACTACAAATAAAAAAAAAAAAATGTGTACAAAATAATGAAATGATATTAATTTGTATAAATATGTTCGAACTTGTCACATAAGTGCTCATAATGTTCATTACAAATTGATTCGATTTACATAATGGTTCTAACGGAGTTTGTGAAACAGCGAACATATATAAACACACACAAGCAACTGTTTGTATATTCCCCAAAAACATGTCCTTTGTCTTCTTGTGTTTATTACGTAAAGGATTGATCTCATACTTATTGGTTTGGTTTACGAAAAAGCTATGCTCCCACATAAGTTGTGTATGTATGTTTAAGTGCACAATTTCAAGGTCATTCGAAAATTTGAGCCAATCTATCATAAGATGTTTTCTAAATTTAACTTACCTGTTTTTAAATGCGTACAGTGCTAATTTACTTCTTTTTTTTTTTTTTCTTTTTGTATATTTGTACGATTACTTTTCAAAATAATAACATAGTTCACTGGGAATTTCTAAGCATTTCTTTTTCCGTTCTTTTCGTTATGGAAAGCGTTTGTTAACTCAAAATAGTTGGCAGAGATACACGGTTAGATATTTACTTATTTCATCAAAAGAAAAAAAAAATTTCGTGCAAAATCAACCGAATAGCGCTTATCCGCACCAGAACACGTCAGCTGATTGAATGAACTTTCAGTTTTTCAAATCTTCATAAATTATTGCGAAGCACAGAAGCTGCAACAAAAAGAACAACAAGAGCGCAATTGTTAAAAAGAGGAAAAGACAGCAGAACTACGCGAAAACGGTGTAAACTAATAATTGCCTTCAATTTGAAACGGTACACGTGGAAAGGCAAATGGTAGGTAGACGCTTGGAAAACTTTCAGCAAACTGAATTAACACGGGGCCTGCTCTTCGAACACCAACAACGGTGTTCATGCCTCGAAATTGTTGCAGCAACATTTACATAAGTGTTAACAATTCTCTGCATTTCAATCGCTGGTCCTGGAAAAGCTTTAAATTTCGTAATAGTGGCAAGACTTCCTGTTGAGTCTTGAATGGGCTACTTGTTATTTCTTTAATTGCACATACAATCAAACAGATATTCTTTAAGCACGTGCGTACGTGTACAGGCAAAAGTAGGTCACGAAATTTCCTTAAAAGGCCAGCATGTGCGTGTTATAATGTTGCATAATTTTAACCTTGCCCCAACAGTTAACAATGCCAACAGAGAAAAAAAAAATTGAAAATTTTCTTATGCTAACCTAACTTTTGATATTCTTCGACAGATAATCTTAGAAAATGCCCGGTGATGCTGATAATGGTAAAAAAATTTTCATGCAGAAATGTTCTGTGTGTCATACAGCCGAACCGGGTGGCAAACACAAGGTTGGTCCCAATTTGAGTGGTCTCATTGGACGTAAAAGTGGCACTGCTCCGGGTTACAATTATTCTGATGCGAATAAAAGCAAAGGTGTCGTTTGGACCGAAGATGCACTTTTTGAATATTTAGAAAATCCCAAAAAGTATATACCTGGCACTAAAATGGTGTTTGCCGGATTAAAAAAAGAAAGTGAACGCCACGACATAATAGCTTATCTAAGTTCTAAATAAAATCTTTCAAAAAATTTTCAATAAAAAAACAGCGGGGTTTTATTGAACATAAAACGATTCGTTGGGACAAATTTTTTAATGCTACGGAGAGAGCTTTTACAATTTTTCCCAAATTGAACTTGAGGCTTTTTTCATTCTTTCTTTGATTTCTCAATCCTCTCATACCAAAAATTATAGTGATGCCAGCTTACCTTTTTCTTTTGCGCTGAACACAATTGCGCTATGAAGCAGAGCAGAAATTTTTGTCAAAAATTTCTTTCAGAATAAAATTTAAAATTATATTTTTCTATAAGGAATAAAACCCGTTAAGACAGCAATCGTATATGTTACACTTTTATGGTGATCCGAAAACGCAAGAAAACTGGCAAACAGTTAAGTATAGAAAATTCAGCTTTCGTCGTTTTTCCCAAACCGCTGAATACAAAAGCGAAAATTAACTTTCAGCCACGTGATTACACCGCTGGGTGGGTGCTATACCAAATAGTTAATAGTTAAGTTAAGACAGCCCGTTTCATTTGCGATGTAATTTATATTTTTATTAAATTGTTTTGGCCAGCATCACGACTTTTATATAGTGACCTTAAGCTTCTTATCGTCCTTTTTCATGTATTGATTTTCTATGTTTATTAAGCTCGGCATATATATGTCGTACGAACCGCACGTTTTGGCTTGTATTTATTTACTTTGTTTTATAAAATAAGCGGGGATTCCCACAATGCTTACCATCTTAAAATTTTTAACCCGAAAAACGAAATAACGTATGATTCGCTGGCTGAACACAATGAAGCTTCGCTTATATTACAGTAAATTAAAGACGCAAGCAGTTGACACAATAAAAGCCTCGTTTGCCTTCCTTGCCATATCATATTGTAAGAAAAAATAAACAAGTCTTTATATGGGGACTAACACAATGAAGCGTCGCTAATATTCTCATGCCTGGAGGAAACATGCATTATATGTTCTTATATTATATATATATAAATATTGATATCTATTAACATTTATAAACTAAATTTATCTGCCATTTTAAAAAAAATTTTTAATCTAAATACTTCCTTCAGCCCTGAAAATATAAGGCCACTATATGTACACAAGTAGCAAATGGCTTCGTGGCAAGCCGTAAAAAGTTACAGTCGGAACATTAAAAAACATAAGATTTTTGAACTTGATTAATGAAAGCAGGGATTTTAAAAAACGATTTTAAGAAAAAAGCATGCGCTGGTTGACTTCATTGGTGGTGCAAAAGCTTCGGTTAAATGAAACGATACAAAGAGAAGACTGTAGGTTTGGGAAATAACTTTTAGATTGATTAATAAGTCGGCCCCTTGGCCCTTTTCTCATTTTTGAAAAAATATAAATTGAAATTCCGTGCAACATAATAAAAAAACAAAAAAAAAAGTTAATATAATGTAATATGGAATATAAAATTATGTACCTTTACTTCTTGTTTTATTTGTTTATATACGTACGCAACCTCCAATTTCCTCATAAGTTCGTAAAAAGTTGAACATCTATTCGGGAGGCGCGGCTTCGTTGTGTTTTTACATTTCATTTCATAAGTTCAACTTTTATTCCCACCAAGAGGAAGGAAGTTCCATTGTGCAGACAGCCTTAAGCCTGCACAATATATGAGCAGCAAGAAGAAGACCTGTAAAATATGTTTATGAGCAGCAAGAAGAAGACGTGTAAAATATATTTATAAGCAGATCATTGTTTTTAAGGCCCGATACAATGAGGCTCGAGTTATTTCACGAAAATTCGACAAATTTTTAAGAATGGTTCCAAAAAGTTTTGATTTGTTTTAAACTTATTGGAAATGTGCACCACAAACGATTAGTCTATTTAAGCTAAAGCTTTCCTTTGTACTTCTACTTGCGTACTCACTTGTGTGAGTATTTTTATTAAACGGATACTTTGAAATTCTAACGTATGGATTGTTACTTCTTACATATTCATTCATTTATTCATTCATTTCGTTTATAAATTCTCGCTTTAACTGCCCGCAAAATCACTTATGAAACACGCATACAAACTGAACAAAATAATCGAGGGTTTTAATAATATACATAACCCTGCTCACCGAGCAAATGGCAAACACGTAATTCTTGTTTGCTCCAGAAAATCTACAACTATATTTTCATACACATTACCCGAGGATGAACTGTGAACACCTTTGTTGCCCTTGTTTTTCGCTTGCACCCACTCAACATTATAGAGTATGAAAATGTAGCTCTTTTCCCTTTTTTTAAGCTCGTGGTAATGGATATAAAAGATTCGATCACGACCAATTATAATTTTCTTACTTGTCATTAATGAAAACGTAAGTGATTGGTTTTTGCAATATTCGTTGCACAGGTGGGCTTTCTATACTATTATGGAGGGCTTGCGATGCAAATTACGCTTCCACAGACGTAAACATGGTAGTTCTGAAAGTGATGGGCAGCCAATTGGATATTCCGTGAACAAAGACTTTCTCAGGCTTAAATAATCAAATGTATATTTGTTTAGTCTTTCTCTTCTCTGCTCCAAAACGTTTACTTTTAATTATTACTTAAATATATTGAATTCCAGAAAATGTAATCGTCAGGTTTTAGAAAACCTAGTTAAATTTTATGAGATCATCAAAGGAAAATTCTTATTTGCTTTTGTTAATTGCTCCATACTTTGAAAATTATCCTTTAAAATAATACAATGCAAAAAAAATTTGAAAAAATCTAAACAAATCGCAGTCAGTTCTTGTTCTTTAATTTGTCTAAAATAAAAATTTCTTATCAGACTGAGTTATCGCCCAAATCCTTTGACAATATCTGTTCTCGAAGAATTCTATGAGATAAGAAAGTCGAAAAGACATCATACACTGGATGCTTCTTTTTTAGATATTTATTTTTCTTTTTTCCTTAAATAATTTTAATGAACCTTCTAAGCTTGCTTAATCTTTTCTTATTTATTTAAAAATTTGTAGTGTTACATTGCTCGCATTGGGAGAGAACAATCTCTATTAGTTTTCCCACCTTTTTAAAATATTTATTTGTTGTCTTCTTGGATAGATTATAAATTAAGTATGTAATAATAAAAAAAAAAACAAAAGGAAAGAACTGGTTGATGCTATGAAAAAAAACATAACGAACGAAGTAACCTCACACCGTTATGCAGATGAATAAATTTTCTCTTTTAGCGTTCTCTATCATTCTTGTTAGCATGGCATGGATCCATCCATTTCTGAAATTGAATGAGATCATATAAAAGTATAATTTCAACTATATCTAATATTTATGGTAAGATACATAATCAGTACTTTTATCTTGGATACATCAAGATATTTGTGAAAGCACAATTAGCTTACAGTTTTTAATATGATCTTCAATTATAAAATACATCGACTTGAAGGAAGTGACGTCATATAAACATACAAATTAAATGACTTGGCTTTAATTTGGGCGAGTTGTCATTGCTCTACCGGATTCGATGTATCTTTTATTAACAAACGGAGATTGACCTTGCTGTGCTTGTAAGAGAAGTGACTCAAAACAGAGTTAATAATTGCGATAAAGTAGTTTGACCTAGCTTCTCTTCCGTAAACAATCCGTAATCGTCGGCTTAGATTTGTATTTTGTGAGTAAGAGTAAATCAAATTTTCTAACGGCAAGTGAGAACAAATTCTCATATTTATCTTGATTTCTATAACATAAGTCAAATTCCCCTCTCGTGCATCTGCACACATCTGAAGACATGCGCTTTGTTATTTTAAAACGCTTTTTCGCATTTTCCCTACGCACAACATTCTCAATCAGAAAGCATGAACCTAGAAGACTCCTGTCATCCTTCTTGCTGAAAATGCCATCCTAAAAACTTAACACTGGTCTTCCTTCTCGTTTTAATTGCGACAATGTATTAACAAAACAAAATATATAGAGCGCTTTAAATTTTATATTCGATTGACAACACTAATATTTACCAATGCGTGCGCAGTATTCTTATTATATGCCTCTCTCTCTCTCTTTTTTAATATATTTTAATGTACACTTTAAGCTTTTTAACGTTAGTTAGTTGCTTAACATTCAGTTGCTTTATAGTTGCGAATCCAATTCAATCCATTGTGTTCAATGTAAGTAACGTGGGGTTGCTAATAAAAAATTACATTGCAATCAAAATTTTCCAAAAAGAATAAAATAAATTAAATCGATATGGAAATGTGTATCGTGAATAATTAGCTCTTCTGTGAGGAAAGTTAGTGAAATATGTGCAGAAAAAGAAACGCTGGCAAAGGAAAATTTAAAACATTACCCAAGTGAGATTATATAATAACAAGGAATAGTTCATATTTTGAGGTTTTCCATTTGCGTCCGTGAAAAACTAATCGATGTTGTGCAAATAAGTGGTAGTTAATTTTTTCGATTACGTAAAAGAAGTAGTTACAACAGTTATTAAGTGATAAATAGAATCAACAAGAAGTTAATCGGAAAATGTTTCGTATGTACACATATTCCTCGTGTAATTGTGATGATGCAATAGGGCATTTATTTCTTTCACCAATATGTGTAATTTTCGCTCGCTCTTGATAATGTACTACATTTAATTACCTTGCCTCTTCAATTTTTCCATTATTGGTACCAAGTTCAAGAAGCACGTGCTTGTTAAACAACTTTTTGATTGAAGTGAATTTAGTGACTTATGTTTAAAATAGAGATTTAATGAGTGTTCGCGACACCGCACTAGACGCGGACTCATTATATAAGTTGATGTTATTTAGCTTTTCATTCAGTGCTTGTTTACTGAACCATATTTTCTATACAATTTCTACTTCTTTTTTTTCGTATATTGGCTAATATCCAATGCTGCCGATCACGCAAAAGAAAAAAAAATTTTTTCTTAGACATGCATTTCACAAAAACACTTTTACTACATATTAATGCAAGGTTATTCTTGCTCTCATATTTTTTAGTTTTTCGCATATACGTAGGTGGTTAGTCAAAGCTAACAGAGAAAGAGAGTAAAGCAAACATTCTGTAAGTGCATCGACATTTGCGTTAATATTATTTAACATATGAATAGAAGAATTGTTACTCTTTTCCACTCACACATATTTGATGCGCGATTTCAAGTTCGCTACATGGCTATATGTATGTATATAGTGAAATACTTTTTGATTTACAAATGTTCTTATCCACGATAACCTCTAACGTGCAAACTCATTCACACTATAAGTTACCTAATAAATTTGTTACGCAGCTCCATACTGAGTTAGCGTCATTTCTCATCTGCATATGTAAAGAAATTTGAATATTACTTAATTAGTTTTTTAAAACATTTGTCTTGACGATTTACTTATATAAAAGTCATTCAATGTTATTTCCAGATATCTTAGACGAATACTATAAATAAATATGGGTGTACCAGCAGGTGATGTTGAAAAAGGCAAAAAACTCTTTGTCCAGCGTTGTGCTCAGTGTCACACTGTAGAAGCTGGCGGCAAACATAAGGTCGGACCCAATTTACACGGCCTTTTTGGTCGTAAAACTGGTCAAGCACCCGGTTTCGCTTACACAGATGCCAATAAAGCTAAAGGTATTACCTGGAATGAAGATACGCTCTTTGAGTACCTAGAAAATCCCAAAAAATATATCCCTGGCACAAAAATGATATTCGCTGGCCTAAAGAAACCAAATGAACGTGGCGATCTTATTGCCTATTTGAAGTCAGCCACTAAGTAAGCGTCTGTGTCACAACAACGACAACAAAAATAGCAAAAATAAATAAAATAATTAGAAAGAAACCTCACTGCAAATACCTATTACCACCACTAGAAACAAAATAATAATATTAATAATCATCATTGCTCTTACTTTTAAGTTCTTTATAAAATATGTAAAAAAAAAAAAAACAATTAAGCCACAAAAGTTATTGCATCACTATAAAAATTGTGGCTATAAGGAGGTTTTCTTAAGCAAGTGCTGAAAACTCTCTTTTCTCTTATTCTGCGTAAATGATAATTGTAATAATTTAAAAAAAGAAGATTTTTCTTCATAGGACAATTTGTATAATTATGTGTAAAGTTAAACAACAATGACTTAATAATAAACGAAAATATTTTAATTTCACGTCGCAAACATGTTGATAAAAAATAAAATAAGAGAATGTAAAAAACAACTCTCTACTCATTATTACCATTAAGAAATTGAGTTACAAGTTCCAACCTCAACCGGACACATCGATTTGTCAAACCTTTGCAATCTTTAGAAAGAATGCATCAACGATGTCATAACTTATTTTTCTAATTAAAATCTCTGCGACAAATATAGATGGTTGAGTGTTTCTTGAGTGTATTTCTTGAAATAAAATATTATCGAAAGCAAGGATAAAAAGACTAGCCTTTTCGTCGCTATCGAACATTAAAGATCGGCCCAAAGCGAGAGACTTTGTGTAGTGCATCGCTTTGAAGAGAATTTCATTTAAATGTCAACGGACAGCACGAAATCTCATTTCCTGAAAGAGAATTTCATTCAAATTCAATGTTAATAGGTGGCGTAAAAGTGTCAATCTTCTGGCCAATACAAATAGTCAGTCGGTCTCTGCTCAACTATTTTTATTAGAAAAAGGGGAATTTTGAATATCAAACCTTAGCTTTAGGAAGTTCTACATTTTCAAAGTCACCGTAATACTGAATAAAGAAAGCTCTGTTATATAGATGTTAAACATACGCACTGTGAACTGAGAAATAACAATTAATGAAAATGATTGGCCTCGAAAGTTAAATTGAACAGTTTTACAGACATTAGATCGAACAAAATATTAAAAATATTGATTTTGCTGATTGTATGATGTAAAAAAATCTCTTCATTAATTTTATAATAGACTTGAGCTTTCCACAAAGTCAAATCTACGTTTGGTTTTATCTTTGAAAGCATAATTGTAGATAATCATTTTCTGAATTTCTTTCAATTTGTCTGTCCATCTGCCTCTATGATGCTTGTGCATGCATATTGGTGTTTAATATATTAGGTGTTTGCAAAAATTTTGTTCAACGAATTCTGCGGATAAAAATTGTAAATAATTGAGAAATACCAGTGTACATAACGGTTGCATTTAACGGTTTTGACCTTCCTTTACCTACGATAACAGTTTTCCATTTAATATTATTGATTTATTCAGCGTACGCCGACGCTAATTACGGATCATTCAAAATTCTTCTTCTTCCAAAGTCATTACTTTTGTCGTTTATTTGAAGAAATCTGCTGTGGAAACCCCCTGATACTGCTCCATCATATCTCAATTGTCGGTTGTGCTTCCAATGGTGTAAAAGTGGCGACACGAATTGACTGAAAATACCATTTTTGACGACTTGTTGGAAGAGCTGTCCGGGATACGCTGTTGCAGCTCGAATAAAGAAGATCTGCCACATCCAGCGTGATGCCTCCTGATTACAACTTTTTCATACCTATGCAACATGGCTTGGCTGGCACGCGCGAAGAAGTGCGAAAATGGGTCGGTGGGTGGATCTCTGCCATACCAATATAAGTACTTTCGAGTTGATATGCGTTAAAATTTTTATACATTTACTTGCTATAGTTTATAAGCAATCAGGAAAAAACCAATTTTTTATTCCTATTGCAAAACAAAGGTGTTCTCAGTTTACGTGGTGCTGTGGGTTTGTCCTTGACCGATTTATCTCATTTTCAATACCAATCTTCGTGCAAGAGCTTTTAATATTCCTGCGAAATTTGAAATCGACGTCTTTTGTTTTGCGACCAGCAAAATGTTTACAACATACATTAAGCAGACGGACAAACGAACATGCTTAAATCGGTTTAGTATATGATTCTGATCAAGAATATATATACTTGTGAAGCCTCTGATGGTTCCTTCTGGGCCGCATCTTTCGGTGATGGGAGAAGACAATATCGAAATGTTAGAAAATCCTAGGACTTTCCATTTGCAGTTCGAGCTGTATCAACAATTTAGTTATGAACATTTAAAATATGTGCGTAATGATCAACGCGAAGGTTTAATACTGATTGTATCGAATTTTGCTAACAACAATATATTCTTTGACTTTTATAGAAACCTTCGTGCTACTACTTTACTATTCACTCGCACTTGTGACGCTTTATTATTGCAAAGAAAATTTCTAAACTTAACCTAAAAGTGAAGAAGTATGAAAAAAGAACCGCAATAAGCGCATTAATCAAATTAGGCTTAGAATATTTATTGTGAATTAAGCAAGATTAACAGTGATACATATACATATACAAATATGCTGAGCATATAACTATAATAATAATACCGGATTATATTATTCTAAAATTAGGCTTTGCCAGTGATAGGAGCCGAAGTTTGTTTTTGATTCTCATTCTCTTTTTCCAGCTGTTTACCGAGATATTCCCTAAAGAAAAACGTTAGAAAATAAAAAAATATGTTTTCGAATATTGACATAATAGCTTGAAATCTTGATTGAGCGGAACGGAATGAGGGATGGATGACAATTCTGACAAAACAGATAAATGAGTGATGAGAATAAATAATGATTTTCGTATTCATTGCATAAGCAACTCACCAGTTGTGAACCATTAATTTTTGTACGGCCAATAAAGCTTCATAACGCACATTTGGATCCTCGTGACCTAGGAGTTGCATAACAATTTGCTTACCTCCTAATTGTTCCAGAACACTAATATAAGCGCTAAGATAATTATTTTTTCAAATTAAATTTAATATAGGAACCTACTGTTTGCCTCTAGGATAATGGCGTACGTATTCACCGATATCAAAACAAGCTACTGACAAAATAATAGGATCTTTCGATGTCTCCAACAAATGCACCAAAATACGCAACAACTCGTAGTTTTTCTCATTCAAACGCTGAGCATTTTCACGCCAGAATTTCGCAGACTTATGCACTGGCGACCATTCTAAACGTGCGCTACGCAATTCGGTAGCATATTCATCGAACGAACTGAGATCCTGTACGGAATTTTGAAGCCTCTGAGTAAGATATTCGACATCGGCGGAAATATCTTCATCATCGAAACGACGTTGCTCTAAAATCGACAACTGCTTAAGGACCTTACATTGCACCATGGCAATGCAGTGTTCTTTGGCTACTTGAGGATCGGTAGGTTTCTCGATCAAATTACGAAAAACGGCTAAAATAATGCGAGTGACCTGTTAATTAATTAGAAAAGCTATCAATTACGTCACTTTATAATGTACTAATGATATTTTGCACCTTTTCTTTTGCGCAATCGTTGAGAATGTCAGCCAAAATTGGTATGACGCTAAACTTGTTCATCTTTGTGGCCAGCAAAGGATTGAAGGTTAAAACCCATAGGCAAAAGACCAATTGATATTGCACCTTTAATAGAAGATCAAGGTTATGCATTTGAAAAGTATGATTTTTTGTGGAAAGAGGGAAAGTACGCTTTGCGAGAACTTACCTGAAAATTAACGCGAGAAGATAAGATCCTGACCAATGTACTTATGCCGTCTACGCTGACGAAAGCGAAACGATAATCATCCACACGTAACATCATTTGCAAGCAACGCGCCACCGACTGAATATATTCGTTGGCCTACATTCAAATGTACGACAATATTTTTTCGATAACTTGTTCTGTACAAAACGCGGATAATGCGTTAATAATTGTTAACAGCGTTATATGTGACTATAGCCTGCTGAATTCCAAATTTATGCTACTTTTTTCTTTTTTTTTTGCACACTTATGTTACCCAAACAATAGACATGAATAGAAAATAGAAACCGACACCGACAGTGAAGAAGAAGAAGAGGAAAGAACATTTATTATCTAAATTGCTTCTTCACGACATGAACAGGTTAGTAGAGGCTATGTTAATCAAAGTAAGGATTGAAAGGATGAAACATTTTAATTTCCAAACAAAATCCTATCCTAAGCTTCTAAACATTTGCATAGTTTGGGTAAAATTTTGCACTGTTCTATATCGATGAATAAAATCTGAAATGAAAATCTATTGTTTTTAGCACTACCGGTATTATGGTTTTGTTTTCGGCATTAGCGATATGCTGTTCCACATTGAATTCACGATAGGTTTCGTGCTGCTGATGGGCTTGATCATGATGCGATCCATGGAGATTGTAACCATGGCCGTGACCGTGACCGTGACCGTGACCGTGATGATGGCCGTGTGTATGCATCACAACGACAGTTTGTACACGTTTTGCCAAATCTGCCATGTCCTTTAAATATGCCTTGCACTGCACGCACGCACATATATGATATATGAATACATATACATTTACGTTTACATGTGTATGTCAAGTTGTAATTATACGAACAAGTTGCATTTGTTGACATATGGCATTTTGTGCGGAGAAGAAAGGAGGTAAGAAACATTTATTACAAATATTAATGCTTATTATCATATACTAAACGCTAATACACAAACGGAATCCATTTAAGTGATGATCAATCACGTTAATAACAAAGAGGTCGCCGTAGTTGTATGAGAAACGTTTGCATCACAGGTTAGAGTTAAAAGAACACATTTCGAAGCAGTTCAACAAAGTGTTGCATTAGTTTTCAACATATAAAGTGCTGTTAATTTCTGTCATACAATACACATACACACACATGTCGATTTAAATTTACATACATACAAACAATTATAATTGTTAGTGATATTCAGTTAGTAAATTATAAAAATAATGAGATAAGAGGTCTGTTCCTTATGTCGATATGGCACACATCTGGTTTAACAGAATTAAATTTATAGATACATATAAATACCGTTCATATTGAACTTTACTAACCGCTTTCTTTCTCAACCGCTATTGGACCTTTTTGCACCTTGCATCTTAACATTTTAAAGTTCGATGGATAATTTTGTTATTACAAACCCATACAAAAATACTTGGTTGAGAAACTCATTAACTAAGCTGCCAATATCGACTTATGGAACAACACCAAATGCGACACTATGAACGCCAACAATTAAAATGAATGAAATATTTTTAATATATAATGTATATATAAAACGATTTTAGTATAATTTTGCAGTTCTTATATATAAAGTTATATGTTATCCTGTAACTTGAAGTTTCTTGTTTTAAAAAAGATAATGACGTATAAAATAGCTCGTAAAGTAATAATTTATCGCATGCCACCTTATAAATATAAAAGGAAAGAAGAATAGGGCGTCTCACCTTTTAACTAGTGAAGTACTCAATAAATTAAAATAACTATGATACATTTTTCAGCGTTTATTGAAAAGCGATGCTTACATCTCTACATCACTCTATCTCTGAATTGTACAATGATAAATTACGCGTGTTGTGTGGGAACCTTGAAATGCTTGTAATGGGATAGCAATTATAAACTAAACCAAGAGTAAGTAGTCGGACACAGCATTGAGTTGTCATATCAACGTTATCATCTTATACTGTAACCATCTTACTAACATTGGATCAAGGAAAAGGTTGTATACTATGATCACCAGTCATTAATAAAAGCGATTAAAGTTAAGCGACAGTTTCGAACAATATGAATGGACACAAAAGAAAACTCAATATTAGGGCAAATTAAAGCGAATTACTGCCCGACTACAACTTCATATTTCACTTCTTTTAAAATATAAGCAAATTGTTTTTGAATTTTGCTGAAAAACGACGACAAACTTTTTTATCGTCTGTTATATTCTATTGGCTTGGAATGAGATAATAAGACGTAGAAGAAAACAAAGATTCTGGTATATTCTCCAACAATAAAAGGATACAAATCATGCAGACACTTAAATATGGTCCCAATTTATATCAAAGCATGGAAGATATCCTAATTTTAGTTAGTTGTTTACTGCTATAACATGCACTTAAAGGGCGGCATGAAATAAATTATCGGTCGAGTAATATGCATATATAAATATATCTATATATGTATTTAGTTATATATTCCAAATTAGCCACAAAATAATCTTCATTTCATAACCTTCGCTAGGATTAACGGAATTTGCAAATAATTATTATCCGAGTTTTCTTATTTGTAGCGCATTAGACGGAAATCAATAAAAGTTTTTCAATAAGCGAATGGCTATGAAAAATTCGACCGAATATTGTGCTTATTAGCAGAATTTTTTTGTACTTACATGGATAGTCAGTTGATCCTTTAAGAATTGTAAATAAAAATTTAAATCGGATTTTGGAATATTTTCGGTTCCCCAACAAGCTAATTTCGCTATAATACGTGAAGACATATGAACTATGAAACCGTCTTGACGATTTAGTAAGTTTAGAAATGGACCCCATATATGTTCCTTGCGTTTATTAGCATAGTCATGGAAGTAAGCTACGTGTACACGATCCTCCTGCAACAGATCGTCGATCATAACTAGTATGTATTGAATAGTAGAATCCTTGGAAACATGAGATAGCAAATTCAGTAAGGTTTTGACGGATTGCGAAGGATTCGCTTGCATGTAACCAGATTTTGATGTATCCAAACTTGTAATGCACTGGAAATCTTCTGGCGATATCATCTGCGATTGCATATACGAAGCCCAATTAATAGGTTTATTACGTATTTCACCTGCTTGTTGTTGTAGCACAGAAGTCGCAGCAATCATATCTGATAGGAATGACATTTGAAAAAGATATACGAGTAATATAAGTTTCGATTTTTCCATCTTAATTCATCTTACCAATATTCTCATTGGGCATTTGAATATAATCTTTGACGTTTGCCATTTTGGATACTATAATTTTATATGATAGGTGAAAAAATTGTTTCAAAACTTATTTGCGTACTACCAAAAATTTATTTCTTTAAACCGTTAGAAGTGAAAAATAATTTTCTCTAGTAAAAGTACAATGGAAGAATTCAGCTGACGGGTCTTGTGACTTTTTCGCTTCGTGACAGCTGTCTGACATATTTATTATGTCGTTCTCGATAATTTTCTCCTATTGTTACTAATCATATGGTTATTATTATTATCACTTACGCAGCAACAAATAAAGAAGCAAGGTAACATGAAAAGTAAAAGTCAATTTTATTCAATAAAAGAAAATTATTTTAGGTTTACAATGTTTCCTCGTTATGGAGGTATAAATTCACAAAATTAATTAATGAGCCCCCCAAAAAAAATTAAAACCCAAAGTGTAGAAAACATCAACATTGTAGTAAGAGTTACACAAAGGTTAGCTAGTACAAATACCTTTGTAAGGTATGCCAGGGTTGTAATTTTTGATTTCGTTCGAACAAAATCAAAATCTAACAAACACGCACACACATACTCATACATACTTAACACAATTTTAAACACACTAAGCGTTGCAGAAAGTGGTATAGTTCTAAGTATATGGCATCAAAACAAATGTTTGTAAAAAAGAAAAATAAATAATTAAAAGACGAAAAAAATTGAATTGCTTGCACTTACTGCCTTCAGCATTTTCTTAGTTACGTTTTTCGTTCATGCAGCCTTCAAATATTTTCAAATTAAACAGGCACATCGGATTTTTATGAAACTTTCGGATTCAGGGAGCCATTGTAAGTCCTTCATCATTTTGTGGAGAACGACTCTACCTTGTTTTTACTATAAAAATTTTAGACTAATATAATGACTAAAAACAGAACTATTTTGGACGCGGAAATAGAATGTTTCTTTCGCCAAACGTCAAAAGCAAGAAAGGAGTAAATGCCAAGTGGCATACGACACCTTTTCCTACAACTGAAAAGGAGCTAATTGGAATTTTTACTGGGGTCTCGGTAGAGGTGTGCGAAAACGCGGACATAATTGAACTTTATACAAATGGAAACTACGGAAAGGGTACGAAATCTCGGAGCACGCCTCAAATAATGCGTAGCGAAAGCGTAGCTCAAAATCTTGAGCGAATCGAAGAAACCTTAGCATTATGTTTAGAAGAAGCGTTCTTTTTAAGTTATTATTTAAAGGTGCTTAGAATCAATAATATCCAAGGTGAAAGATTGGAGTGGTTTGAAATGCTGCAGGAATGCGAAGCAATTAATAGGAAGTTTGTATATAACTTGGCAGCTTACATTTACTTGAAATCCAAATGTTGGGTTGTCAAAAGTGGGTTAAAATTCGGTGCAAATTTTTGTAAGTAGCTGCGAATTCTAAACTAAACACGCCGTTTATTAGCGTTTTAGTAATTTATAGAAAGGGACCTCGCTTTTACCACGCCAGCTTTGCTGTTTTAATATCATGTAACGAAGGATGCGCTCATCTTGTGGCCAAAAACATTAAAGGATTGCAACGTATAGCAGAAACTTCAGACAAAGATATTTTGCTGTTGGACGTCAATAAACCTTCAGATTTCCAGATGGGCAGTTTAGAGGACATTTCCCGTTTGGCAATCAGTGAATCCGTGATAAGACGTTTCAATTACGCGGCGTTTGTGCAAAATAAAGCACAGAAGCAGTAAAAGAAAACAAGTTTTATTAGTTACATTGATTCTTTCTTAAATGTCTTAGACTTTTTCTACTCTATGCTTTTTCGGTATACCTGTACGCCTATATTCCGAGCGTTCTTGTAAATAAATCTGTTTACATTCTTCTTTGAAAGTTTCGTTTTGATACCAAGACGTGAGGCAATCCTTTAAAGCTGAATTTTCTTTGCGACATGTGATTACCATTGATATACCGTTCTCTTTACAGCAAGATTCAAAGGCCTTGACCTCCTTATTACAATGAAATTCTTTAGCCCGATCTCGCATAACTTTCGGTACCATCACTTCCATTTCGACTTTCCGTAATGACAAATCTTCTGGATCACCTGTAACAAGCTTGCTGGCGTCTTAAAAGCCAATTTTACTAGTGATTAATATATTTACCCTTGCCATGTGGGTTCCTTGGGTTAAAAGAACCACCAGCACCTTCCATGTTCATGCTCATCATAACCACATTTGTCATAACAAATAAGAACAATAGTGAAAAGCACAGGGGCTATAAACAGGTATATATTGACGTTAGCGTAAAACGTAAATAAAACACATCTGACTGTGTCAACTAATAGGTGGATCAAGATGTTTATTTACTTAATAAATTTCTTCAATTCTACGTAAATTATAAAAAATGTGTAAGCAAGTTCCTGCTTTATGGATGAATTTAGTAAACAAAAAACATGTGTTAACATAAAAGCAAGAAACGAAGAGGAAAAGAGAAAATTTATGAAAAAAATGAAAAAAATTCATGGAAAGAAAAAAAAAAATTAGTAGATGAAAAAAGTCAATAAATATTTATATCAGTTACTTATTTAGAGATTTTAATTTTTTGCTGCTGAAAAAGAAATCAAGAGCAAGCTTGCAAGCAAATATAAAGAGCTAAACACAATGCACAATGTATATGCCGCGCATCATGCATGCAACTGTCAAAATATAAGATAGTTCTGGATGTTGACATTTAGTTTTCATGCGTTGTATTGGTAAATCAAATAAAGATGTTTGACCTGGACGAGCGGATCAATATGACCGTTTCGAACTTTTGAGCTTTAAAAGAATGGTTATACCGCATGGGAATTTCAAAAATTTTCGGCTGGCCTTTATTTGAAAAAAGACTTTTTTCTAATTAGTCTACTGTTGGGGATCATTTTGAATCGTATGGATCGTTTTTTGACTGCAAGTCGTTTTCATAGCTGCCATCGCTACATTCATTTTGTTAGAATCTTTTCAACATATAGAAGGAGGCTCCATGGACTCTACAGACATGCGGGTTGGTGTAAAGAATGAGAGAAATCACGGCTAGCCAAGCGCATAATGAATGCAGGTCTATTTTTTTGAGCGAAAAGTTGTGGGTTTTTGTTTATTACTCATAAATTATGAAAGATAGGAGCGCTTCCCTTTCATGTCCAAAAAAGGGTATAATTGATCACGTCCACACAGTCGTAGCTGATCAAATTTTTATTCTTCACGTTTTTGCGGTCTTCTACTTATAATCCATAAGGGAAAACAATGGAACGTTGAAAGTTTTTATGCGCATTCTACACATGGAGACACTATTTTTTTCAATTGGAAAGAATTAAACGCGCGCCATTATTATTATAAAATACCAAAATTTACTTGGTTTAGATGTTCATATTTTTTTACCCATTATTCTCTTCCTGCGGCAGGATACAGTTGTTATTGGTAGGATGAAATCAATAGTGGAGAGTACACATGATATATAATGTTCTCACTTCTTATACTTATACCCTACAACATCTGCTTATGCGCGTGTAACTAACATTTAGAAAAACTTTTATGTCCGTCTGTCTGTCCGCGTATGGTCGTTTTCAGCTTGCAGATTGTAATTTGATGATGAAACGTGGAACACTGGCGCGTGTTGTTCCTAGGACGAACGCCATTTGAATTGGATTGGACTGCTTTTTCGAGCACTCCCTGCATAATGCCTTATTCTGAAAAGTCATTTATGAAAAAATATTGCAGCTTTCCAAGTTTCCTGACAAAAATCCTTGCGGGACAATATTTCGGCATTCCAAGTTCATGTGAAAAATGTGGATCCAATGGAACATTTGTTTGAAGTCATTGCCATATAACGGTTCCGAATCTGAATGAAATAACCGAATTCTTTTGTGACTGAACGGGGTATTGCGTGCTATGCATCGCTGAAACCGTACGTCAAACACATTCAGTTTTTTGCAATTTTTTCAAAAATAGCACGACTAGCATGATGCGGTGAAATTTGGTATTGACTAGCCCAAGCTTGGTTTGTCCATTGAAACGAAGTAGATATCAAAGATGCCGCAAGCATAAGCTGTCCACATAAACAAGGATATAAGGTTTCAGGTCGATCAAGTTCGTCAATTTTACCGTTCAGACGAAATTGCGTCTTGTTGTTGAGAAAGATGACAAAGGAACACGATTGACGTTGCATCGTCATCAAACATATCTTACTTTGTTCAACTTATCCTGTTTTGCACCTTAATGAAAGCCTTATATGTTGGGTCAAACTTTTCTACGAAATGCTCAATTGTTTTCCTAAGAACACCATTACATAGATCGCGGATAGTCTCTAGTAAACATGAGAATGCCACAACCGCACTCTATTTTGAGAAAAAATGTTCTTAAGAGCCAAAACTGTAAGGAATATGTTTTCATAATCAAACGGTAGGACTGGCTGGAGCAATTTTTTGATCCCCTTCTTATGTAACTGTTCCTATGGAAACTGAAGCCTTTTATAATAAAAAGGTCGTATTTTCAATATTTCATGGCGAAAATTGACTCATAATGATAAATTGGCAAAGAAATAAAACATAACGAGTTTGGATCACGTAAGTCTACTTTTTGGATGCCACCGCATATGAAAATTCTGATGAAAGGCGAAGTTGTGTTAATGTTCCTATTTGTTTTTATGGTTTATGGTCTCTTTTTTTTGTATATTACCAATAACTCAGGGGATGTCTTCTATAGGTGCGAGCACAATAATTAGAGTTATGTAGCGTTTGGTAAATAATGCGCTTCTTTGAAGAGGCAATATAACAAGTGAATTGTATGTAACATATTTATTACATATACATTAGTTGATGCACACATACATTGCTAAAACAACTAAAAGCACCATAGTCGGCCACGTGTCGCCATTAAGTACAGTACACGACTTCTCAAAATAAAGCCTTCTCTTGCAAGTAGTCGAGAAAGTGCTCCGATCCGAACCATTTTCGATAGCCTTTCCCTTTGCGCCAAAAACAGGCCGATATCTCAAATTTCATCGAAATTTCTCAAAAATATGAAGAAAAGAAAAGAAGGTGAACGAACGGATAGACAAAAGGAAGTGATTCTAACTCAATCGTTACAATCAAAGGTGAGTCTATGAAAAATATTCCTAACTTCGTCAGGCTATTTTATGGTAGAAATGGCCAATCAAATTCCTATTACTAACAAAAACGCACAGCGACCGACGTTAGTTAAATTTTGACCATTTTGCATACATACTTTACCTCGTTCAAGTTTATGATACTTTTAAAAATTTTTATATTCCATATCTCGGTCACCTATACCGCTACTTCAAACTGTAGTTACAAGTATTTTTCAACCTGAACTCTAATATTATTTTAATAATAACTTATCACTCCTTCAAATCCTATTTAATTATGAAAGTTTTTATCGGAACTAACAAAAACACTCAAATGTGGTGATATGGAACCTCTTTGTGAATGAGTATACAATAGAGTTTGTATCAAGCATGTAGAGGCGAAAGTCTGTAGAAAAAAAAAAAAAAAAAAAAAAAATAGTAATAAAAAATATATGAAAACTCAGTACTCGATCAGATTTCGCGGAGTGAACAACGTTCTAGAGGGTAGTTAAAGTGAATATGTTTTAAATTTTTTCACATCAGCAAGAACTTGACATATTTTATGTAAGAAATTCAAATTGTGATAAAAACAAAATAATGTTCATTTCCGGTCCTTGGCTTGTCTCGCGGTTAGCATTTCTCATATACGGGATGATTGCGTTTTCAGCGTCGAGCGTGTATTGTAAGTGAAAAATAAAAATAGAAATCAGTCTATAAAAAAAAAAAACAAAAAAATATTCTTGCACAAAATTTATTATGGCGCCACATACATTCATTCTTCGTAATGTAAAAATTCGTAGAATTAAAAAAAAAAAAATTAACAATAAAATACTGATAATAAATAATTATATTGATTCTGTCGTTGTATTGCGTTAAGGTGACGATGAGAACGACGAGACAAATTCATGGAATATTACGGTGATGGAAAGACTGCGTATGCAACTCTTTACAAATTATGATAAGAATGCTTATCCTTTGATTAGTTCCGGTATCCGGACAAATGTAAGCATGGGACTTTCGATTATCTACACCGACATTGATGAATTTGATGGGAAAGTCATGTTACACGGTTGGTTACATCTTGTAAGTTCCAGAAAATAAATTATTATCGGTATAAAAAATTAATAAACTTTATAGCGTTGGCAAGATGAAGACCGTACTTGGACTCCCGAATTGTTTGATAACATAACTACAATACATATAAGTCCAAATGAAGTATGGAAACCGGAAATCACTTTATTCAATAGTGCCGGTAACGAGGCTGACTATATAGGCGAGACCCAAATTGTATTAACATTCGAGGGCAAATTTATTTGGGTGCCCCCCGTTCTTTATACAGCCTACTGTAATTTAAATCTGAAATTATGGCCTTATGATGTGCAAATTTGCGAATTGAAAATTGGCTCTTGGACTTGGACGCAGATTGATTCATCGTTTGTTCATTTTAAAGATACTCTCGATTATAAAGATATTGTGGAATCTAGCGAATGGGAAATAATTGATGCTAGAATTGCTTATCATATGAGCAATTTTTATAACTACATTGAATACACATTTCAATTGAAACGCCGATCTTCAATGTATACCGCAGTGATTTTTACACCCGCCTCTTGTATCGTTTTGCTAACACTTTCTTCGTTTTGGCTACCAGTGCAGATGGGTGAGAAAATTCTGCTAAACGGCGTTATGATAGTGATAGTGGCAGGATTTCTTATGTATTTCGCGCAACTTTTACCCATATTGGCTGAGAATACACCGCTTGTTGGTAAATATCTGCAAATAGTTTAACTTATCTGACACAGAAAAAGCTGAATGCGTAACTCTTTAGCCCTTAAAAATTCTTCGAAAATAGATACAATTTGGCTTATTGAGTTCATTAAGCTATAATAAATAGCTAACAATATTCTAATCAATTCCATTCAGTTTCACCAATAAATATTTCTTTTATGTAACTTGATCCACACAATACGTCTTCTGATGAAATCATTTGTAAAGCGAAGATAGCAGTGCAGTGTAAATGTTTTTTCTTTTTATACCGTTACACCATAAGGTGATACAAGGTCAGATTAAATTCGAGCAGATGTATACAAAAAACAAAGGGACTTGATCGATTCAAAATCAGATTCTGATTTCTAAGCTTATCTGTCCGTCTGTCTATCTTATTTTCTTGTATTTAGCCCACAGGGCGCAATTTTCGAGATATTTTGATGAAATTTAGTGAACCGACGTGTCTTGGTCCAACGACGAATGCTATTACAAATGGTGCGGACCACGTTTCTAACCAGCTCCCATATAATGCGTTATTTTGAAAAGCCAATAAACTGTAGAATCATGTAAAGCATTTACGCAAATTTTTTAGAAGTAAATAAAAAGACATGTTTAAATTTATAATTTTGTAGAATATTTTCATACAAAATTTTTTTTAAAAACTTTTCAATGGTTGCTTGTCAATCAATAGATCATTTTGTTTTTTTGCCGGAACTCAGTAAGAACGAGATTTCATCTCTTCTTCTTTACTAAGTATAGGAGATGTCCACTATTCTACTACTTCAACATGCATCTCCAGGATTATTTACATATACATATATTATGAAGATAGGTTATATATACACTACACCTGGGCATACACAACTGACGAACAACTTCTTAGGCCATAAGTTATCCAAAGAAAATGTATAGTTTTCTTAAGATTTTTCAAAAAAGATGGGTACCTTGGCGAGAAACTCTCACCGGAGGAAATATTTTTTTAATTTATTAATTAATTTTTCGACATTTTATGATAAAGAGTGGAAGAGAAGAGGCTTTTTCTATATACTGTGAGACAAGTTTGCTTTAAGTAATTTTTTTTTTTTTTTTTTTTTAATTAATGAACTTTTTTTACTTGTAGTACTTTTCTACAGCGCCAGCCTATTGCTATTGAGTTTTTCAACCATAATCGCCGTAATTGTTTTGTATCTCTCCACCACTAGTCACAAACAACGTGTACCGAAATTTATACAAAGTATTTTGCATGGATCCTTAGGACGAATATTATTACTCACCCAGTTTACTGTGGAAGCTGAGCCTCCTTCATTACTAAATAATGGCATCAAAGAAATGGGCGAACACGTTTATGACAGTGTTGATGCAGGGGATGTTATAGCTGATGGCACCACTACAAGTAATACACAGTCGTTTTCGATCACTCACAATCGATCGATACAATTTGAATGGACTTTACTATCAACGGCAATTGATCGCATTTGGTTCTTAATATTTTGCGTTATCTTTATACTTTTGGCAACGATATATGCCGTTTAGCTTAATGTAGTTAAATAATCAAAAAATTCTTAAATGAAAAGCATCGAAGAATTGCATTTTCTTTTAAAGTTCAAGTTTTCAATCATATTTATTTTATAAGAGAAAATTGTTCTTTTAACCTTTTTTTACTACAATACATATTTAATACTTATATATATAAACATACGTTTTAATTGCACTACATACATAATACATATATATATCTACAAATCACTAATCACTAAATATAATAATAGATAAATATTTAACAAAAAAGGGGGGGAAAAAAAACAAGAAAAAAACCCAAGATTTCCGGCACCCGATGCCGATGCGTAGAAGATCTAAGTTTTACCTTAACTATACAAATGGAGTATTGTTCGCCGGGGAAAATTTACTGTCTTTTTGGCCATTCGTTTAGCAAACATAGCTTGTCACCGCCGCAAGTTATATAGTAAAATAAACAGATTGATAGCCATTACGAATATAAAATTTGACCTAAAAATTGTATAACAACAATACTGACTTTTTATCATCATATAAAGTAAGCTACTAGACGATCCCCCGAATCGAGTTGAACTGAACACAAAAAGCTTTTGTAAGGTGACCATGCGAACAAATTGTATGGACCACTCTATTTCTTTTTCGTCGCTCATATTTCTTCTTTAAGCCCCTTTCATACTCTACATCACAAGGCGGTGCCCGGCGGACAGTTGTAACACCCAAAAAAATTTGAGATAGATCAACCGCTTGATTCAGAGCCACTATGTGAATCGATCCAAGCTTATCTGTCCGTCCGTGTTGTTCCCTTGTGTTCGCTGTACAAGTCAAGCAATACTTGAAGTGTTTTATGGAAATGTAGTACGCCAATGTGTTTTGGATAAAGGTTCGGATTTGACCAGTTTTTCGACCACTCCCCATATTTTAATTTTTAGACTTTCGGGATAAAAATCGCTTAGTAGTGGTATGTAGACAGACATTCATGATTGGTGCGAAAACCTTAAATCGAATGGATCTTCATTTTGAATGCCTTGCTATATAACTTATCCTACAGAAACTGAATCTTCATATGATAAAAAGGCCTAATTTTCAATATTTCCAGACGAAAATCTGCTCTTAATAATAATTTATCATAAAAATTAACTTTTTAAGACAATTTGGACAATCTAAGCCTATTTTTTCTACTCGAAGGATCCTAATGAAAGATACAGTTTTTTATATTTCGTGATGAAAATTTGTCCTTGGCAAAATAAGAATAGGGAATTGGGATATTGATGGGGATTCTTGTGGACACAATGAAGTCTGCTAAATTTAGACCACCTTGAGTATCGTCCAATATAAGGGCCCTCATGCATTCATTATACATTTACATTAAAACAATATATAATTTTTAGCGTATTATTAACTAAGCAAAGTGATGTAGGACCGGCCTTGTTCGACTCTAGCATTCTTACTTTTTTATTTTCTTTCAACTTGTGGAAGAGACAGACATATATAAAATGAAGGAAATAAAGTCCGACATTGTAAGTAAAAACGGGGAAAATATTTAAAAAATAGTTCACTTACAAGTAGTAAATAGAGTCTAGAGTTTGGTCTATGCCTTCGGCTCGTCATCTGAATTTCTAAAAACGAATGAGCAAAGGCTCGAATTTATATCACTGACCTATGATAACTTCCTCTTCATCTTTCATATGAAATAATTTGTTTTTCGAAAGCAGTAAACCTTCCCGCCAGACATATAGAAGACTGCAACATAACATATGCGTCTAATCCTGTCTACATAATGCGTAAGCGTTGGAATTTGTTAAAAACAAAAAATTTATTTTCACTTGCTTACAGCATGTTGTTGTAGTCATTAGCAAGCAAGCGTTAAAGTGGCCAATAGTCATTTTAGTCAGTAAGAACAAAGGATTAACTTATATCATTAAGAAGAATAGGAAAAATTAGAATAAAACAACCGGACAGCACTGTGGGTGGTATGTATCCCCAAACGGAATAAGTGTATAATTCATATAATTTGTCCTAAATGCTTTAGATGAAGGAGTGGATTTAAAATGTTGACGTACCACCATACGGCCAATATGAAGTGCGTGTAGCTGCAATAGTAGTAGTTGTTGTTGTCGATGTTGTTGATGGTGTCGATGGCGATACGACCGTTGTTGTTGTAATTTGTTGGCCACTTGTAAAGTGTACTGAGTTGCCGTCCGGGGAAAGGGGCTCAGCAATGTTCGATGACGTCATTGACGCGCTAGATGAAGATAGAAAACTTAGACTAGATGAAGTGGAGGCAAGATCCGTATGCAAATTGCTCGAATGTTGATGTTGTACACTATATGGATGATGTGCATGGGGATGATGTGGATGATGTTGTGGATGACCAATTTTATAGCCCGTAAGCATATTTGTTGTAGGATCACAGCCCTGAGCTTGTGCTTGACAGGCCGCCATAAGGCCATGGAAATCAAATTTATACGCATAGCGCTTACCATGAACCTTAGTCATAATGTTTTTGTCGTAATAGTATCTGTAAAAAGAATGGAAGGAAAAACTTTATATCTATTATAATAGTTTTAAAATAACTTTTAAGATATGTGATGGCGTACAATTAAAAAAAGGGCAGTTTCGTTAATTCACGCAACTACAACACAACTACTTTTCGTGTTATATTAGGTTGAACCGGCAGGCGCTTCAAAAAGGACGAAAATTTGCGCTTACGAGAAATATCGATTCTGCTATCGAGTCAGCAGAAAGAGATTTGAGAACTAACAAGATGCGGAGCGAACATAGTGGTTGAAATGAGACGAAGACTCACAGTCTCCCTAAAGACACTGGCTAATGTGTAGAAAGGCACCATGCAATATATTGGTGAATAAACCGCAGTAAGTGATTTTCCAAAAATTGGGAAAAATTATCTTGAGAGTTTCAACTTGTTCACTATACCGCCGGTTGTGGTACCGTGAAGCTGTCGTTTGTTTTGCTTCCTGCGAAATTATGAAAGGTCGTGAAGAAGTGTACGGACACTCGAAATGAAGTTTACACTGCGCCACTTGTGGTACAAGGTTTATTAGGTTCGTGCGATTGTATATAATATCCAGAAGGACTTGAAACAGATCAATGGTTTATTAAGCTTGTCAGTCTATACATCCCTCGGTTTCTCTGTCCATCTGCCTGCCCTTGTATCCTGTGTTCAACCTAAAATTCGCAATTTTTGATATACTTTGATGTTGATTTGGCCTAAGAACGAAAGTAATTGAAAATGGTTCGAACCGTACCGCTTTTTTCATTACTTTTCATAAAATGCACTATTTTGAAAAGCCTTTATATGAATCATTCAAGTGAAGTAAAGTAGGGTAATTAATGGTGCCCCGTGCCCCGCTATAATGCTGCAAACTACTTTTTTATGAAAATCCGCTCGAAAACCTAATCATTTACAAAGTCTTCTAATTATGGATAAAAGGAATAAATTATTTAACATGTCTTGTCTTCCTTGGTATCATAGCAACTGGTTTTGTAATTGTACTGAGTTTGGTGGGATCGGTGGGCGTTAAACAGTTGCGCAGACCAGCAATACTAACATAATGCGTTAAACTTTAGTTAGACTGCTAGCTGTCCGTCATATCTATATCGGGCATAAGGCCTCGTCTAAAATCCGGTACCTCGTATTGTACGTAATTGTGTTTAATTACTATAATAATTGTACAATTATAATTAATTAATACAGTATAATTATAATTAATTATTACAATTATAATTATAACCAGTTTTCAGGATATATGTGTGAAAATGTTATCAATGCCCAAATATCCTTTTTAAACTTTCTGTCCAAAAGCGAGCATTAATCGTAAAACAAAAGCTTTACATCGCACCAACGCATCGCAACATATTAACAAAGTGTGTATGGCGTTTAATGTTGCATCTGCAGCTATTTACATAAATCAAGCAAGTATTTCTTTATTCACATTTTCTTCTTTTTTTTTTTAAATGCTCTCTGTGCATTTATTGTTTTGCTTTCGCTCTCTCTTTATTTCACTTACCTCAGCGCTCTGCTCAGTTTGTCGTAGTTCATGTTTGGTTTTGCTTTGCGCTCTCCCCATAGTTTTGCGACAAAATCGGGGTCGATTAGTTTAAACTCGCCATTGGTTCCTTCCCATGCTATGTACGTACTTTTCGACGAATCACCAAGCAGTTCAAGCAAAAATTGCCATAACTGTATTTGCCCAGAGCCTTGAGCAACCAATCGATGCGAGGCGGCGTTCAGCAATTGATACGGATCTTAAAGAAAAAAAAAAACAAATGACAAAAGACATACGGGCATAAAATCTATTGCAATAAATATCTCTTACGTATAATAGTTTCAATAGCGATTAATTAGATCGATTTCGAAATATTCTATTATTAATTTGTTATTTATTCAAAAAGCGATACGTTTTTAAGTTCTTTCAAAATTGTTAGTTAATTTGAGACAAACCGAAAAAAAAGCTAAACTTACACTTTACCTTCGCTAAAGTAAAGAAACTTTTTTTTTTTTTTAAAGAACATTTACAAAGCTCTGCAGAGAGAAAAATAATTAAATCCTAAAATATTTAAACAAAGTTGTATGCAAAGCGCTTACAAGCGGAGATATTTGAACAGAAAGATAGATAGACCACCAGATGAACAGGCACACGAAGACGGGACAGAAAAATCATTACACTTTTAGAGGCATTGGCCAGACTGTAGGCAATTTATCCGGGCCTATGGAAGCAGGCTTTGCGAAGCACACAAAAAACCTATGGCCGCCCGAGCAGACGGACGGACGGAGATGTAGGCAGGCAGACTAGCAGAAAATTGGATGGATCAGATGAATGAAAGCGGACAGATAAACAAGTAATTACATTATAGCCGGGCAAGGTCGTGCATTAAATACCCTACACCACATTATCCAGCACAATTCTTATTTTTATGATACAACACAAAAATCATATCTTATTTCTCTATGAAAGCATATATTTCATGTGCATAATAATGGGGAAGCGGGCGTAAAACGTAACCTAATGTCGTACAAGTTTACATAGCCCCTACATAGGGCAGGATACAAAAGTAGGCGTAGATGGTGCAAATTTTGTAGTATTCATTTTTGCATGAAATTACTAATGTGGGTCAATTTTCATCATCACATATTAAAAGTTATACTTTCCTGCTCTACAAAGGATCAATTTTCGTCAAAATTGTTATTAGGGTAGGATTCAAAAAATAAGCCGAGAAGGCGCAGATTTGGTACAGTTAAGTTTGTTATGCTAAATTACTATTATGATCTGATTTTCATCATGAAGCATTAGAAAGTATATGAAAGAGCGTTGAAGAATTGCCCGAGCCGATCTTAAGTTTACCGAGATACTACTACCTAACCACTTTTACCGGGAAATTTTGAAAATTCCAATTTTTTTGGTCGAAAACGTTGACCGATTCGGACCATTTACAATAGCGTCGGTCCTTGAGTCAAAACACGGCTCTGTATCTGTTCTATTTCCATTTCTACTTTTACTGCTATTTCTTTCGCCGATGGCAAATACAGACTTACTTTCCGTGAGAACTTCAAAAATTGGGCTTAAATAGGCCCACCTTTTTTTTGCCGATCGATTCAGAATCGTAATCTGAATTGATCTAAGCCTGTCTGTTTGTGTGTTGTCTGTTCATTTGAATTAATGTTCATGCTGCAGGTCGCAATTCTTGAGATATTTCCATGAAATTTGGTACGGAGACGTGTTTGGATCCAAAGACGAACGCTATTGAAAATGGTTGGAATCGGTCCACTTTTTCGGCGAAAAGGTAACTAAGTATTCGGCATCCTAAACTGGCACGAAAACTCGGGACGGCTGGGACAATTTTTCAACCCCCTCTCATATATGCTTCATGACGAAAATTTTATCACAATCGTAATTTAACATAAAAAAATTAATCGCACCGTATTTGGATTATCTCGTCCCATTATTTGGATGCCACCCTAATAAAGATTTTCACGAAAATTGATCCTTCGTAGAGCAGAATTTAATATATTACCCCTCCTATGACAGGTTGATATATTAGACGTATAAGGAAAACATTTTCAGGTCAATTAAGGAAATTTTCTTAAAAAAGTTTGGTTATTGATCCCAAAGAATTCCAACTAGCACTTGCTGCTCTAATATAAATAAATTTTAAAAAAAAATGTTTCATGGGTCACTCTAGTCATTTTAATGTAGTTCACTCTTGCCATTTGTACGTCGACTATTTGTCGATATTGTATTTCCTACGTCAACTTTCATGTCAACGTAGAGTGCAATTATGTATTATTTGAAATTATTAATAAAAGAGTTAGCGATCGGAGTACAAAGAGTTAAATAATAAAAAAATTTTTAAAATCTTGTGTTTTATTGAAATTTTCTTCCAATTTCTAACGAAAACTAACATTCATTCTTTAAATAGACAAAGGATTGTGATGTCGGAAATTTGATGCTACTTTTATTTAATAACTGAGATTAAAGTTAATAATGTGAGGGAAGATTAACAATCTGCCTGCAAGTTTTTCATTTATATGCCACGTGTGACTTGATTACGGATATTATTCAAAAGTGCACAAAAAGAAAAAACATCTTTGCATCACTTGATGTACATTCAAGTAAGACTTGTTCTAAAGTGCAAATGTTGTTTCCATTTAATAGAACTAACTTACTATTTGCTGCTATTGTTAAATAATTATATCGTAAAGATATGCGGACATATGCAGCATTCCCAATAAACCTAATTTTCCTTATACCAAACGAGCTTGTCTGTCCGACTGAACGTCTTCTTTTCTCTTCCCTATATATTTCTACGAAAGCACTGACATGCTTTGAAACAACGCCCAACGCTGTTGGACGGGGTTCGGCCCACACAATTTTTTCTACCATTTCCTATACAACGCCGTCTTTTGTAAAGTCGAGATATGTGTAACTGTAGGATGGTGTAGGGTATTTAACTATAGATCGCGCCCCACTATATGGTGTTTACTTGTTTTATAATACAATTAACACTTAGACCGTATCCTTGTACTTCAAGCCAACTTCCTTCCATCTATTTATCCTCTCCTTTTATAAAGCTATCATCGAGATGTTCAAAAATTGCAAGATTAACCAAAAGTTTTAAACCTGTCAGCAGCAGTTCGACAGCGGCGGAATGTTCAATCTCGTAACTTAGCTTACGATAGTGTAGGATATAAAAATAGATTTGGTAAATAATTTTTCCTTTTCCTTTCTAGACGCATTTCATTGATCTCTGTTAGCGTTTCATTGTTAGAAGGCTTCTTCCCAATTATCTTTGCGCAATTAAAAATGCTTGTCGCCTTCCATTCTTCGGGTTCTTTTTGTCTGGGGTACCCTCGATTGTTAAAGCAAGATTGTTGCAGTCTAGTATAGCTGGCCATCGGAGCTGAAGGTATAAACAACATTCTAGCACGACTGGATAGACGGAAATGTCCGAAATTTTGATTTGCAGATTCTATTCTGCCGCGAACGCAAGTTAAATGAAGGCCTATGCAAGGCAAGAGTGTATCTATTATCTAAACAAAGCTGATTACGTTATTGTTTCCCGATAGAGGTTAATTAAAATAATCCCGTTCGACTTGCACAGATCAACTTTTGGAATATGACGAAAAGAACAAAGATATGCAGGGCACCTTAAATCATGTAATATTCTCTATGCAGTGGAATAAAACTCATAACTTCCATATGTGTTATGTAATGGTATCAAATTCCGAACACATTCACCATTCAAAGCGTTTTTCTTTTATATAATATTATCTTAGTATAGTTTTTTATATTTTTCCGGAAAGTTTACACGATATGTTTGTGCATAATCGTGAAAGTTTGGAGTATATCAAATACATCGAACTATTTCCAATAGCTAACAAAAGGTAATAGGGTCTTTCTGTTGTCCCCAGACCAAATATCATCTATGATTGAACTTTACCCACAACTCAGACGCAATGACCGGATGATTGAAATAATTCCGCAGTAAAGCGATATCAATACCAATTTGAATTCCGCTTTTATCCGACGCTTTTTGCATTAAAGTATTGATGTTACACGATTATTTAATCCTCCCCAAAAGATCCCATTTCATTACGCACGCTTCTATGGCTCACTTTTTATAAGTTTCAAGAGCAATTACTTTTCTTAACATTCTTAGGATACCCTTCAGCCTGACTTTGTTTGTAAATGGATATTGGAGTAATAAACTGCGGTCCGTAGGCGATATTGATTGAAAATTTAGAAGCGTTGAATACAAAAAATTACTTAAGGATTAATATCACTAAGAATGCCTAATGCCTGAGACTGCGCTTCAAATTCCAAGGCAATCGGATGAAAATTGAAGCCGCCCGTGCAAGAGTTGGAAAATCTGTTAAAAGTTTCAGGCCATATCCGTCATACAGTCTTACAACTGTCCTCGGGAAAGCAAATTTTTATGCCGTTTGAAAATTTTCCCAACCTCAAGGTGTTTTTTAAATCGATAAAGGAAAACCAAAACAAAATCACAAGAAGTTATTACCTTTTAAGGTGAAGAAATTTCTATTGATTTTATATTTAAATATAATTTCTATTCTCTACACCAATTGTGATGCAAGGGTACCTTGACTTTGTGCAGATGTATGCAACAACCAGAAGAACTTGAGGTAAATCCATCTTTCATTATACCGATCGATTCAACATCATTTTCTAAGCTTGTCTATCCGTCTGTCCGTTTTTTATTCTCATGTTCCATTTACAAGCCTTCACTTTTGGCCCAAGGACGAACGCTATTGAAATCGATTCGGACCGGACCACTTCCCGTATGACACCGTATTTTGAAAAACCGTAGGATGATGACCATGACTCATTATAGTGTTCTCACTTGTTTTAATACTAAATTAATGTCTCAAATTGCAAAAAAAAAAATTGTTGAAAAACGAATAATAGTCCTTCGGACTAAAAGCATTGAATTTTTGCAGAAATTTCTTGAGAAAATCATATATATAAAGACGTACCATTAAAGATCATGGAACGTGTATTGGTGGCTGGATGATGGGGTGCTCCGGCATGATTATGGTAATGAGAATGATGTGAGGGCGGATGCATACGTACACCAAAACGCCGATTAAAATCTTCGGATAGGCGCCACATGACACCCATATCAACACTGACACTCATTATTTAATTGTTATAAACAAATTATGCGCGAAATTTATGTAAATCGTTTTTATTTATTAAATGCATGCAAAAGCACAAATTTTAAATACTTTCTTAGCACTTTGGGCTTAGCCGCACTTGTAACGCGTGACCGAGCCGTTTGTATTCCCTTGCGAAACTAAGCGATAAAATTGCTTTAATAAAATTTCAAAACTCTTCTCTGCAGCAACGCAATTGCGAGTGGTATTTTCAAAAAGGGGATACCGCACTTAGAATGTGGAAAGTACATATGTGCATGTGCGTACATTTGTACATGTATGTGCGCGCGCCTTCGTATGTGTGTGTGGCGAACGGGAGCTAATCAAAAGGATAGTAATCTGCGAACTCGTAAAACAGGTAAAGTAGTAGTTTCTTAAGAAGTGTAAGAGAGAGGCTTTGTTTTTGGCCAAAAACACTAAATTATAATAAAATTTTCTCCGTAAAAAGAAAACAAAAAAACAAAAAATAAATAAAATAAAAAAGAAAGGAAAAATACTTAAAGCATAGGGGGCGCTACACATGTGTGTGTAGCCAATGATACGAAACAATGAAAAAGGATATTTTCCTGTCACATTTCCCCAACATTACAATCATTTGACTTTTGTGTTATTAACTGCTCTTAACATTTCATCTCTTAGTAGGTGGTCCTCCAAAAAAAGGTTCACGAACGTTGAACGTATCTAACCATTGTGACATGGATGTGAATGCGTTGTTTATTGTTTGTAGGCCACCCGCTGCTTTTTGTCAGTGATTTCATTGTTGGGCGAAATAATTCGATTACGTTTTAAACACTGAGAGCTACCGAAAGGTGGAAGGATTACTTTGATTTTATTAGATGCCGCATCCTGCGAAAAATTATCATATTTACATCGTTTATTACGTTTCATCATTTCACGTTTAATCGCGTCTCCTGCCTGTTCAATCATCGTGAATGCAATAATAAAAAATTCAATCTTTTAAGTAAAGGAAATCTAACTTGAACTTGCAAGCAAATGTCCTTCGCCATGTGTTTAAGCATTTAAAAAAAATGTGTGTGTTTGTTTGCGCTTCAAAGTGAAATTAATTATTGCAGTTATTCTCGTTGATACTTACTTACATCACGCAAACGAACAACAATTTTAGCACCTGTGCGTTAGTAAATTTATTGCGAATTCCGTTCTTTTCATTCTGTTCTTATCATTTAATGAAAACCATTCGACTATCAAAAGAATCAAAAGAAAGAGTACGTACGTGAATGAAGATGAAAACTTTCACTAAAGATATATATGTTGCGTTTATCTTGACTTTGAAATCTCCAAAAAGAAGCTGCCTTCCTATCACTTGGAAGAAAAACTGATTCTTGACCACAGTATCGAATAAAGGATTAAAATATTTCTGTTCTTTTTTTCAAATTTTGTTTGTTCGCTTAGTATATTTTTGTTTCTGTTAACTCCCTAAACACTCATTTATTGCACACACAAGACACCAACAGTAATGTTTCGCTCTTCATTGCGACTTAATATATTAAGTTTCACATTAGGTTTGTAACATTTAGTTAAGACTTGGTATCTGTTATTCGCCCCAAACACTTGTATTGCAGAGTGCATTAAGTTTGAGATAGACTCATCTTTTATTATACTATTCTATCTCGAGAATCTCTTCCTGAATCTAATCGTTGGTTTCGGCTGACTAAAGTGCTTTTACTTGTACTATCTTTAAAGTTATAATGTCTTGGCAGCTCGCACATGAGCATACTAGCAGGGCTTTTCGTATCGGGTGAAGGGTGCATCATTCCTGCCGTTGTGTATAAAATGTAAGTGCAACAATACACTATTAAGTGCACATATAAAGTCTACCCTCCCATTCATCCATAATTATTTCATTTCGCTATGACCATCTTCTGCGACGGGATTTCGTGCAGAATTTGATATAAAAAGCTGTGCTGAATACACGGCCCACCAGCAAATACCATCTACCATCCTGCTCTTAATATAGCTGTTCACATAACGAGGCGTTATATGCGAATTGTGTTTGTCTTTCGGCCAAAGCAGGTGGGCGTAGCAAATTTGATCAAAATATCTCAAAAAGTACGACCTGTAGATTGAATACATCAGGCAAAGAGACGGACTGACAAGCTTAGCAAGCATTCTCTATCTTATGTCCTTCTGTACATTGTACACATATGCACAAACTTAATATGCCCTGTATCACAAGTGATGTAGAGTACCGTTATATACAGAAAAGAATTGTAAAAGGAACTGATCTGATCTGATCTGATCCAAGTTACAATTATCTATCTGGATAGTGTAAAACTTGCATCGCAAAAGCGATCGCCTGATAACATGACACATGGAACATAAACGAAGCAACAGGAAGCACCTGGATCAAGAAGACAGTTAGCCAAGTGAACAAAAGCCGATGGAAGCCGTCCAAAGCGACCAAAAAATAGTGTCACTAAAACAACTGCAAAAAGTAAATTAATCCGTCGGCATGTCCCGATATTTTGGCACATTTCGTATCAAGACTGATATCATCCAGAAATCATACGGATCTATCAACAGCGACTTATTGAGTGATGTGCTATTATTATTAACCCGCTTCATGCAAAGTTTTTCCAGCCAATAAGCTTCAGACTAAAGCTTCGATTCGAGAAACCCCATATAATCATTTGAGAAAGTCTTTCTCTCATGCAACCCAAGCCTTCATTCCCCTTCCTTTCGATTTATTTAATCTAGAAATTTTAGTATTGTTAGTATTTAGTATAGTTGCTGTGTTCCCCGGTTCGTTTCTGATACATTGTAGTGAAACTATATCGTCTTAGCCGACTTGGAGGGGAAAAATGCACTAAAAACAACCTTTCAATGAGCCTCTTCCCTTTTTACCTTTGGTTAATGTTCAATAAGTACCTTATGTAGTTTTTCTTACTCAATGCTGTTCAAGTTTTTCCAAGACGCCTATGACATCAGTTAGTTTCTATAACTTTAATGACCAGTTACATAAGAGGATACTCTCGAGTGTCAAATGAGTTTCATTTCGTATAAGTAAGAAAAATTCCCTCTTCTATGCTTTACACGTTTTCAACTGTCTTACTTCAGACGACGTGAATCTTAAAATTCCTTTAAAGCAGCAAAAATTGTAGTTGAACTGAATTTTCTACTCTTGGTGATATACTATATATATGCTAGATGCCACGATATCTTCACACATCTTGGTATCACTTTACGAATTAATTGCTTGAGTTAAAAGCCGTATTTACTAATCCACCTTGTATGTGAAGCAAACTTTATTTGGATCAATACCTGCTAAGCTTGTGAGTCAAGCATATCATATTCGAACATTAATTGTCTTTGCAACCGCAAGCAAGTGTTGAAAGGCGCCTACTTTCCGATAGCGGATATACGAAAGGTATCTAACAATAATTCCTTTCAAAGATTTTATCTATTTTTCATCTCACGGTTGTGAAATTTTAATTAGCCATTAGCAATGATTTGCAATTGTCTAAATCAATTATTCGATGTGACTCATACGACACGTTAGGCGGTTATGCTTAACAATTTTCAGTCGCTTTATAGTATGACTTTCAATTTCATTTTACTTACTAGGTTCGTTATCGTTCAACATTGGACTAGATTCGCGACCGGTTATGCTATGTAAAGTGAACGCTATATGCTTGGCAAATACAACGCCACCTTCTCGGGAGCCGGCACAAACCCAAAACTCAGCGCGACTCATTTTACATAGTTCTGCACCTGACGTTGGAAAACGTAAAATGTCCGGTGCTGGGTGAAGATTAAACTGTTTAGTCATCCAAGTCACCCAACTGGCTATGTGATCGGCATTCCAAACGCGTGGATCAACAGGTACTTCCGTAGAGGCGGGTGATGAAGGTAAGACTTCCTTCAATTCAGATTCTAGCGATTCCGATGCAACGGCATCGCTTGACTTCGTAAGTGTAGTAGCGGGTGAGGTATTCTTTAATTGCTTATCACTTTCACATGCGGAATTATCATCAGTGTCAATACTTTTTTGCTCAGCTGAGTTACTATCACTACTACTCGTAGAGATCAATTGTTGAGAGGAGCGTTTCAAACGCCGCTTGGCCGCTTGAGTCATAACGATTTTCTTTTTTTCCACGTGGGCTTTCTTTGCTTTTGAGACTTTGGAGATCTTCTTCTGCTTACATTCATGCTCGTACATTTGGAATCATGTAAATCTCTTGATCGTCAACTTACGCATAAATTCGAAAGCTACCTTTAACGGTCGCATTTGCAATTGCTATTGAGATGCAGAATTCAAAATAAAAAAAATAAAAAAAAAAAGCACTGGCTGTCAAACACTCACTCACGGATTTATGCAAACGCGTATATGTGGATATATAATAAATGAATCACTAAATAATTCTACCAATTATTATTATTTTCTAGTTTATATTATTTACTTCATTTATTTATTATTTGTTTTCATTTTTTTTTTTTTATATATATTTTAGATTTTTATAATCTCATTTTTTTTGTTTGCTGTTTAAAAAATTCGAAATCAATTTTATTTAACCGCTGCAACGTTTCTTTGCGATCACTTTGCCGAGCGAATAACAAATGATTCAAAATCCAGACTATGCAAACTGATCAATGTATTCAAATAGCAGCTAACCGAGAGATACGAACTCAAACTCTTTCGCAATCTGTTAACAACAACTACGTAAATATGCATTTAAATACTGGCATATGTATGTGTCAGAATGCGTACGGGCATGCAAGCGAGTAACATTGGCAATCAAACCGTCTAAGGCATCTATCTATCTGTCTATCTATATATAAAAGTTAGTGTCTCTATAAAACGAAATTCTCTCTTACACGATACGATCTAAATTTATGAATGAATTTTTCGTTTACGTCTAATGAATGTTTAAAGATATTCAGCGTAATCATCGTATTGTTTATATGCTGGTGACGCAGATAGCATAGTGTCTTACGAGAGCGAACAAATAGCGGGTCAATATATAGTGACGTAATAATTAAGCATGATTCATCGATACTGGCGCTGTCTTATGGAGAATTCCCTCCATCATGTTTATTTGATTCAATTTCATTCATAACATTTTTTCGCATCGTCATCTTTTCGCAGAAAACCGGTATGATTGTACTGTCATTTTTAGACCTGAGATCTTTTTAGTCTGTTTCCATGCACATGCACATGTTTGTGTTTTGTTTATACGCGCATATATATAAAAACTTAATGTGTTTCATTGCATTTATTTGTCTGATGCTAATTTCGAAATCACTTTGCGAAAAGCAATGGAATTTTTGCAAAAAATACATTTTTCAAATTTAAAGCTTCAAGCAAACGTTGTAAAGCACCCTTGCATTTTTTACATCTTTCCAGAATAAACAAATAAGAAAAGGTTTGTTCGGAAGCGATCGAATCTTTTACATCTTTATCAAGTGAATAACCTATAGTGGGGGCAATGCCTATCATTAAATACTCTACATCACCCCCACTTATCCATATATCGACTTTTCTAAATAAGGCGTTATATAGAAAGAGGTTCGGTCCATTTTGAGTAGTGTTCGTCCTTGGATCTAATATATCAATGTACCAAATTTCATCAATATATCTGCAAAATATGTCGAGCTGTAAGTCGAATGCAAGAAAACAAGATCACCAGACAAGCTCACATTGATTATTGATCAAGTACTTCTGGGTGTTGCATAAATCCGCTTGTACTTAATACCCAATATTTTGTAAATTTGAATAGGTACAAGCCTGATTTTTTCCATACACTGCACATATGTGGAAATTTTTGTCACCATATTATGAGTAATGAAGAAAGCAGAGACGTATTCAGTTCAACTTGTCACAAATTTGGCCGGCATGCGTCCAAGTACTTTCAATGTTTTCGCCAAATTTAATTTTTGTGACTAGATTTTACGCGGACAGAAAAAAGGATATGGTTATATCGATTCAGAATTCAAGATCAAGATCAAGAACACTTTATCGACTTTCCGACGCTTCCTTCTGGATGCCGCAAATATTTTAAGAAAATGGATATACTCCTATCCTTCGGTGGTGAACCAGAAAAAAGGAAAATGAATTAAAATTATATTGTCCTTATCTAAATATTTTAAAGAGTTTCTTATTAATCGATTACGGATGTTATAATAGCGAACTCTAATCACTACAGTTGCAGCACATGACATCTTTGCTCGTTTCCTTTATTGTTGAATCTACAATAAATTTTCTCTTTCTTAGCATTTCTTTAATTTTTTAACTTACAGGCGTTCTTGTGGAAGATTTACGTTCATATTTTCAAACTTGGTTTTCAGCATTGTTATATAACGATTTTCAACTTGTTCTCTAAACTTTGTGATCTTTCTAAACTTCCCACAACATACCATGACTAGCTAAAGTTGCTGAAACCAGAAGCAAGTGTACATCATCAACACACTATTGATAAGTAGAGGTGTTCTGAGGTTATTATCTTCATTACGTATATGCATTTAAGACTTTTATACAATGCGAAAATCTGATATATTGCGCTGTAGATGCAAAAACTGCACTAACCTTCGATTACATAAATTACATAATTGCGTTCACATCGCGCGTCATCCGGAGCCAGATTTTAAAATGTGATTTGACCGTATGTGTGTACTCATAGTTGAATATACATTTTACATTGCATTATTGCAGCAATGTAATTAGTTGGAACATTTTTCAAGTTTTCCCTATTTCATTTACATTGACAAGCAAAACCGTTACATTTTTATTGAAGTAAAAGAATATCAAGCATTTTTTTCGTAATGATCATTTGCATTTGTATTCAAATAACTTCAGATTATTATTAAAGGTTGTAATTAACTGTAAATATATTTCTATTTATTGTGAACTTGCGAAAAGTGGTTAATGACAATAGTTAAAAAAAACCAACTGAAAAATGAAAGCGTAAGTTAACTTTCTGATACGCAATTATTGCCAAACGTTTCCCATAAATGCAACTCTGAGAATTAACAGCTGTTAGTTTATTGTGAAATTAGTTTTCCATTTTTCTTTAATTCAACCGTGATAGTTTTCGATTTGCCCTTTCTTGATTATACTATGAAATTCCCAATATAAAAAAAAAATTTAATATAATTTTTGGAAAAGACCGTGTAATGTTACCGAAAACTCCCAAAAGCGGATTTTGGAAATTTGTTAAAACCAGTGCAAAAGTTTTATTTGTAATTGAAGCTGTGTGCTTTGCTGGCTCTTATGCAGTTTATCACCGCATGAACACAAATCGCGGTTCGTATGCGTAGGATTTATATAATAAATTAAAATTAATTTTGACAAGTATGATTTTGGAACGTTATTAACATTGGAGAACGCGGAAATACAATATCATAATATTCAAGTAGATCGAGCTAAACAATGATTTTATCATATTGCTTTTTTTTGCAGAATTCCGTCAGTACATTAACCAAAACTGTCCTTCCTTATTAGACTATTATTATAAACTTGGAGAGTTTCTTGGCAGCAGCAAACTTAGAGAACTTGATGCCACCATTTGGCGTGCCCAAGATACTAAACGCGAATAATAGATATAACGCAAAAAAGTAAATTGTTTTCTCGTTTTACTCTCATCTTAATTATTTAGCAACAATTATTATAAGCAAATCTTAAATCTAATGGCTTCAAATGTTTATGTAAAATCAGTAATTTGGTTAACTTCATTAGGTGGCCTAGGTTACGGTTTAATGGTTCTGACCGAGCCTTCTGAAGAAAAGCTATCCAAAATACGAGCCACCACTTCTAGCGCTAATCTTACTGAGAACGAAAAGAAAAAAGTATTATTTTTGAAACGTTTACAAGAAGCTGCTTCAGATCCTTCGCCTATATACATTAAGAAGAAGGAAAACTAAGAAAATTGTAAAATGCATCACGAATTAGTAGATAATTTGGACGTCGAAATTCCAACTGCCGTATCAACAACGGTAGCTAAGAAAGAGCACATTTTGGAAAAACTCAATAAGCGTAATAAAAATAGACAAAATTATTTGGATGTTAAATTAGAACAACGTCATAAAGACAACTTACAATTAGAGGGTACTGATTATTTTTCACAGGCATTTGCAGAAAAAGTGCGAGATATAGAAACACGTATTAGGAATGTAAATGAGGCCGGTAAGAAAAAGTCCGGTGGAGATGGCCCAAGCCTAGATTTGGGACGTCATTTTGCCGACATTACTCTAGAAATTCAGGAATTGCAAAGATATCTTACTACCTCCACTATGTTCTTAAGTGATTTCAAAATTAAAGCTTGTCAAAGCATTGTCAATGAGCTGACCACAAGGTCTGAAGATACTCGAGCACGCCTTTCGCCTAAGAAAAAATTTGGTTTTAGTGGCCGTAAAGTAGCACCCAAGACAACACTCAATCCAAAATTATCCGCTACCACAGATAAAGTCGACTCCTCGGAGGCTAGATTGCATATGGCAACAAACAACGTAATAAACTGGACAATAGCCAATCGTAGCAATGAGTACATTTGCTTACAAAGTGATAAAATAAATGGCAAGGACATAACAATAACCAATCTAGAAAATTGTTTTGTAGAACTACAGGGCCATGCAGGCTCGCTTCAGATCTCTCATGCTGCAAATTGTATCTTTCTAAGTGGTCCCATTGCCCGTTCCTTATTCGCCGAGCATTGTATTGAGTGCACTTTATGCGTCGGATGTCAACAACTGAGACTTCATTCGTCAATGAAATGCCGCGTATACCTGCACGTCACAAGCCGTGCTATTATAGAAGATTGCCGTGAAATTGAGATGGCTCCGTATAATAATGATTACGTGGGCATAGAAGAGGATTTCCAGGCGGCTGGTTTAAGCAAAGAACAAAATAATTATGCCGATGTAGCCGATTTTAATTGGCTTTCATCTGAGATATCTTCCCCCAACTGGCGTTTGCTAAAAGGCGATTTTATTTCAATTAATTGGGAAGAAATGAGAACACAATTTCGACAGCAGTATTTGGATAATGCAGCGTTATAGTCTTCATCTAAGCCGATAGAATGTTCGTGGGTTTATTACGTAGCCGTCACTGTAAGCGTAATATTTATAAATATTCTCTTTCGTCAACATATTTTCAAAGCGCTTAAAATGATTTGGTTGGAAATTGGATTAATCCTAACAAAATACTTGGAAAAGACAAGTTACAATTAGCCTTACGAAATTCCCAATCCTTGCAACCTAAAATATATGCTTATAATTTCCTGGGTTTTTAACAAATTTGTTTTATAAAAATTTGTATTTATGATGAAAAAATTTAATTTTGCTTAATATTAAACTAATAAAAAGAAGAATTTAACTACGTTATGATAATAGTTATTATATTACATATACACTTAGAAAGTTAATCAATATTTACACATATGGGGATAAGAAAAATTGTTTTCGCTTTTTTACTAGGTTTTATTACGTATATTATTTGTGCTCAACTTTTTTTTTTTAATTGTATAATTGCAGTTCGGCTCGGCGATAAGATTGGTAAAACATATTTGAAAACATATTTTGAAATGTCTTTAATGTAAGCCCTATACAAACAACCTTTCAGTGAAACTTGACCCAAAATTCTTATTTATCTCGTCGCTGGTCGCATTTGATATAAAAATAAAAATAAATTTTGAATTGGGTTAAATTTCAAGTTATTTGATTGTGCTGTATTGACAACTGAGTTGCAAAGGTTGCTTTTTTCAAGCATAATACTCTTACAATTGCCAATTTTAGCCAGCGTGATTAACCGGTCGACTTATGGAATTCGGCTGAGTCATAGCTTTTATTTCATATCTGTAAAGAAAATACATAGTATTAAGCGCCATAAAATCAACTTTTTTTTATCAAAGGAGTGGCGCAAAATTTACCTCAGTTCCTTAGGTAAACATGTGGTATCAATACGTTTTTCCACTACAGTCAATATGGCCAATGTTTTAAGACGGGGCTTAAAATCGAGGACGTGGGTATCATTATTATCAATAAGAGATGTTTGTTCTTGAACAGCAGCATGGGGACAAGGACTGAAATAAAAAACAATAAAAAAATTAAGTGTTTTGAATCCATGCCATTATAAACATACCTAGTACCACCAAAAAGGAAAAGACGTGCATCCTTAACAATGCCGACTTGACGACGTCTGGGTGTTGGTGGTTTACCGTGCGGCTTAACAAGATTCCAACAATTCGTTTTTGGATCGAAAGTGTACAAATCATTAAAATGTTGATCTAGTAAACCATTGTATCCTCCAAATACATAAATCAAATCATTGTAAATAACTGAGAAAAATTTTACTTTAATATTTTCCCGAAAAAGATCCTTCAAATTGTCAAGCTTACACATTGAATGGGATCTACGGCCAACGGGTACTTTTCCTGTTATAGATGGACGATGCCAAACTTTAGTCTTCAAATCAAGATATACTATTTCAGGACAATACATTTCCTCTTGACTGTGGTAAGGGCTGTGCTTGTCTCCTCGCCCTCCAAAAATATACATACGTCCAAGTGTATGTTCTGCTGCATGGAAATCACGAAACGATGGCGGTACTCCAAAGGTCTGCACATAGCGCCATTCCATTGTCTCGAAGTTAAGGGCATGTACATCGCATGAAAACTCATTTATTTCCTCGACAAAACCACCGAAAATGTACATATAGTTGCCAATCACACAAGCGGAGTGACCATCGCGAGCACCTGGCACAACTCCCGTTACGTTAGGACGCGACCACGACAAAGTTTTAGGATCGAAACAATATAAAAAATTGCAAAGACTTTCATCATTCCGGCCTCCCCACATATAAATCTTCTCCTTATAGGCCACTGCTGTGTGACCGTAACTAAAAACGCAAACAAAAATTTACAAATTCAATTTGCCATAAAACGAGATAACCTACCGCTGAAATGGTACTTCAGGATATTTTAACACCGTACCATTTTCGTCCTTTTTTTGCGGTAATAAAGTCCATCGCAAATTTTGCGTGTTCAAAACGTGCACATCAATAGATTCATTAAATCGGTAATCATCTCCTGTGCAGTAACCGCCGAACGAATATATTAAATCACAAACACAAACTGCTGCATGGTTAACCCGTCTTGGCCCACCATCCAAATGAACAGTCCAACGCATTTTTGTTTTTTATTGTTTTTTCTCTTTGTTCTTTTTTCCAAGGAAACTTCGACTAGAAGGCAAATACCTAAATACAATACAATTCTAAATGATCTTATAGCGCAGCTGAAACTTCAAAAACTCAATTTAGAATTTGGGTTTTATGACTTGGTCTTAGCGCTGCCGTCAAAATGAATGTATTGTGTGTCGATTTAATTAGAAATTCCGATCATATCTTACGTTTCCTGCATCTACTTTTTTTGAAGATAAATGTTTCTGCATTTCCTAAATATTACCCGGTTCCCTTTGAAAGTTTTGTAAAACTTACTTGTACCTAAAGTAAGTTTCGTTTACGTAAAATAAATTAACAAAAAGAATTAACATTTTCTTTTCTTCAGTGAACAGGATTGCCAACTTTACGCAACTAAAATATGGTGAATAAGTCTATAATGAATAAATACTGCTACATTTAGTGGTTAAATAAAGTATTGGTGTATATTGCAAACCTCGCAAACTGTATTGAATATTTACTGTGTATGCAGAAATAGGACGTTGTTCTTTTTTATTTCAAAGGATTTATAATGAATGTGCACTATGAAAGCAAGTACAAGAAAATCAAAAGGCAAATAAAGAAGCTAGTGTTCGTAAGTTCCTTTTATTGCCAATCAAAAATTGGCATAACATATTTGCTCTTTTTAAATGGACGTTTGATTTTTTAGGAAAACGCCGCTCTATGTGATGAAGTGGCCGAAGTGCAGACAGAGTTATGCGCTGCTCGTGAAGAGCGACGATATCTTGTAAAGCGTTTGTTGCGTCATGAAGGATTTGAGAACGTTGGGAAAGAAGACAATCCTGCAGAAGCAGGCTCTTTTTCTACGCAGAAATTGTCAACCTCGAAGAAACGAGGCCCAAAGAAAAGACAACGAGCTACCAGTACGGGGGGTGGTTCTGTAGAACAGGAACGCGACGGAATTACTTTGAGCGAGAAAAAATTCAATGTAGATATATATGGCAAACCGAAGTTCCCAATCAATCTTAGTAATATATTACTGCATTCCATGGGAGAAATTTTACCGACAAATTCAAATTTTCATAACGAACATTGGATCTATCCAGTGGGTTACATGATCACTCGTATATACGCACATCCTAAGGAACCGCAACGTAAATGCGTATTCACTTGTAAGATATTAAATAACGCCGGTATGCCTCAATTTCAAATTATTCCGGATAACGATTTGGATAGCGTATTTTTCGGCGAATCTGCGAACGTATGTCACCAAGGTTTGCTTGAAACCTTGCAAAGATCACTGGCCGACGTAACTAAGCTTCCTTTGCGTGTGCAAGGGGAGAAATTTTTCGGACTTGGAAATACTACGATACAGTCGCTTTTACAAAATCAAGAAGATTTCAAGCATTGTGCAAATTTCAAAAGTTTTTTATCGGCGGCGGAATGGAACTTTCCCGAAGATAAAGATCCGACTATATGCTATGAAGCATTGCAGTCCATAATTGCAATGTCCGCTTATCACACTATGCCTGAAGTAAAGGACGAACCTCCAGACGAATTATTCGAATTAAATTAAATCGAAAACAGAAAATATGTTTTAGTTTTACGCCATAACACTTTATAAATATAAAAATTATCTTGTAAAAAAATCCTAATTAAAATGAAAGGCAAAATCACAAATATACACACTAAACGTAAAAGTAATCAGCATAGAACAGTCGCATTTCCTCTGATTGCGCATTTTTTTTAATTGCCATGTTATGCTATATAATGAATATTATAAAAGCTATCTTCGTTGTTGATCACTTATAGGTGCGGTGGGAGCTGGCGTAGGTATAAGATTGCGAGCACTTGTGCGATAACGCATTGGCATTGGTATATCGGATGTCCTGTGCAATGATGGATTTATCTTTTCTGGGGGTTGAGGGTAACGATATTTTGGTGGTTCCTTTGGTGTGTGTGCTTGAGCATCTTGAGGGGAGTGTTTACGCTGTCTTAGTGGTTTCTCTTGAGCGCGTGGTTGCTGTTGTCTTTGCGTAACCTTCTCAATTTTGGTTTTATTTTGTCGTCCAGTAAACATTAAATTTGCAACGAATATAACCGGCGAAAATAGCCGAATTGGAGTTTCACTTTAAAGATATACGGGAAAAACAGCAGCTTTAATTAGCAATTATTTACTTCGCCATAGCTGTTAGTACTTATATACTTACGTCGTTCCCACGAGTGGTCGTGCCTCGTTGCCACTCAATATGAAAAGAGGGAAAAATATTGAAAATATGCAGCTGCTTGCGATTAGCGAATTTGTTATATTTGTGACAAAAAAGAGAGGTGCACCAAACCCCAAAAAGTATGGCCAATTCATTTCAATATAGCTTAAACGCTTATGTAGCTCCCAACCCATGTTGATCCATTTGTACTCAAAGCAGTACAAAGAGTAAAGCATACAGAGATGTACAAAACACAAGCTATTGCCAACAGAGGTTATTGGTATCAAACTGACCAACATACTCTGAATTAAAAACAATGCTTGGACAACTAAGCTAAATAAGAAGTCCGCAATTAGTTTGCTTAAACTCGGGATCAGTTGGGGTTTCCCTTTGCGTATTTTGTACGCTTCGTTAGCGATATCGGCGAACCAAAGAGAACTCACAAATTTACTGAGCAGAAATATTGGTAGCACCCACATCATGCCAAATATTATGGAAAGTATAGACTGCAACCAGCTCCAAATCAGATGTAAATCATCTGAATCTTTCCCATAGCACAAAGTTAAAAGAAACTTAAGCGTCGGCAGTAGTAGGTGTTCAAATAAAATGATACTCATCCAAGTGAAGCCGCCATTAAGCACACAACACATGAAGACTTTTTGGGCAATTTTCTTTTCTCTATAAAAATGGGAAAATAGAAATGTACACTTTGATATATATGTATGTATAGGGATATTTACTGTGGTGCCACGCGGGGTTCAGTCAAGCGATTACGTAGGCTATTTAAATTGCGTTCATCAGGATTTTCACGTTGGAAATCGCGCTGCCTTTCTTGCTCCAAAATCATTGCTGAAGCCGAAGAAGGTACTGGTGATGGACTGCGTCGCATTCGATTCTGACGCTCTTGTTCCGCTATTTCGGCGTCGATATAAAAAACAAATGTCATGCCTTTAATGCTATCCCAAAAACCGTGCAAAAATCCTAAAGTAATGTTCTATTTGAAGGTGAGAGACAAATTCGAAGAAGTTAGAAGTATGAGGCAATAGATCGAAATTAAATTCACCTTTGCAAATTCCATCGTTCGGTAACTTTTAATTTTAATTTAAGAAGAATATTTGAAGAATATTAGAATATTTCTTTCTGGCGTAAGGATTACACAATTCTCTTTTGAAAAATGAAATATACAAATTTATACCCTATTTTATTATCCCTATATTATTTTTTTGATATTCAATATATGTAAAAATGACTAAAATATTACATGTCTATCAAAATAAAACTAAATGACAATCTTTCATCTATTAATGTACATTTCGAACACTTTTATTAACTATTCGTTGCTTTCTATTCAATTTTTCAACATTCATCATAACAAATAAAAAGAAACTCGCAACAAATTTTCATATGACTAATTGAGAATGATTGAGAGGAGAATTTTTTGAATACTTGGCAGCATTACGAAATTGCTTGCATTGTTTCTGTAAAATTTTCTTTGCTCTGACAGGATTACTTGCTGGATTACTGGGAGGATGTTTCTTTCGTCGCTTACACTTTAAATAATTTCGCTAATAGTGATCAATTAAAAGTAATATGAGATGGAGATAGTGGACTTAACAAAATTTTGAACAACGGATTTGAACAACGGATATTGAGTAACAAACGGGATGTTCTTCGACAAAGCACTCTACCGAACAATCTCAGCTTTGGAATACAAACATTGGTTCATTATTCTTTATCGTTATAACAAGGTTACATTTTATAACACTCTCAAAGGTCCATACTAACGTTTATTTATTATGTTCCATAACTTGGAAATTACTCATTAAAATAATACTGAAAATAACTTTTAAGCTGATTATTGGGTTACCTCTTCCATCTTTTGGAGAATTGTGTGTATATATTGGAGTTCGATATGCAGTATAATATAAAAAAAGGGATTATAAAATGCAAAATTGGAGAATTAGCTTTTAAATGTTAAATAAGACTTTTTTTTATTTGACTTCGGTTAACATCTTCATCACATATGTTTTGGATCGGCATTCTTCGAAATAATCTTTGCAAATTTCGAGATTACAATCGAGAAAATTTAATAAAATAATGTTTTATCAAAACAAAGGTTCCATGTGTTCTTAAGATATATTATATTTTTTTACATATATTTGGGATAAATATTTCATCTTAAAAATAAAAATGTTCAATGTGTGCTGCCAAAATATTTGTTTTACATTGGTATAAAATTGAACAAACTGGCAACGCTGTACGTACCTACCGGAATATAAAAAGTGTATAGTAAATAAATGTTGTTCTTTCTTTCAATCGCGTATCGGTGATAGGAAAAAAACTCATAATCAAGTATAAATAATTAGGGAAGAAAGATCTCACATTCCAACGAAAATTATGTGTATTGAAATAAATCTTCTCTGCTCTTCTTCCTCTTCCTTTTTCGTTTGATAAGCTTGATAAGCGACCAGAAAGTATACTGTACGACCAGAAAAGTATACTGTACGACCAGAAAGTATACTATACGATCAGAAAAGTATACTGTACGACCAGAAAGTATACTGTACGACCAGAAAGAAAGAATTCGTGGAAAACAAGTGTATTAGCAAACGGTGTTATTTACAAATATATACACAAATCTCTTACTAAGCGAAAAACGGTCCAACGTAAAGCCTGTGTTTGTATAACATAAAATGTCAACTTTATACTGCGGAGGCTTGAAACGGTCTATACTTTCGAAATTTTTATATTTTTAAACAAAATCTTAATATTCAAGCATTAGCTAAATGAGAAAATTTCTAAATATTTGCGAGAATATTGTGCAAAAATACTTAGTATTTTCGTCAAATAAAAGCATTTTGTGTTAATTTTGTTACTTTTTTAATACGGACAAAATGTTTCTTTCGGCGGTGAGATGTACTTTCGGCGGTGAGATGTACTTTCGGTGGTGAGATTCACTTTCGGCGGTGAGATGTACTTTCGGCGGTGTCATTTACTTTCGGCGGTAAATGATACTACTCGGAAGTCTGAAACTAATTAAAGGTAATCTCTAAGAAAGGACAATATTTACATTAAAGGAGAATAAATAAATTTTAATTTACAGATGACGAGAACAAAGAAAAAAGTGGCTTAAGAAAAACAAAGTTTTTTAAAGCTTAATAAGACTGAAAGGGCCAAAATTGCGCACATATAAACTAAAATGGGAATAACTGCCAACATTCAACCAATCAACAACGTCCACATCCAATTTTAAGCGTTCTTTAGTTAGAGGACCGACCGGCTTATTATTTACGTAAATCCCAGAATCACTTTCCAAATCAACGATGAAAATTTCTTCGTTGGAGTCTACCACCTCCAAGTAACAATGCTTTGCATTAAATATCGCCCTTTCTCCAGGAAATACTGATTGTTTTCAATTTCAAGTTGAAGAGCTGTTGCAGTCTCTCCGAACATTTTCTATTTTTTTACAATTTTTAGAAATTTGTAGTCCTCAAAAAATTATTTTCTCTTAACGTCTACTTTAAGAATATTCCCGAAATATTCTATCCACACTCTCCTCCACCATTTCTTTTATAATGCTGGTTTTCATTAGGACCAAGAAAGCCAATGTTTTTGAGTTAAAATGTGAAAAATAAATAAATTTACTTTCCTGTTTTCAATTCAAAGACGTTTTGCTTATTTTTATAATTTTATCAGAGATTAAAGAAATTGACATTTAGAAAGAAGAAATTATTATGTTACTTTACACTTTATAAATAAATTGATAATTTTAATATATTTTTACATGAAACTTTACAATTGTTGAAATATCGCCTTATATATTCATTTTCGTTTTTTTTTTTTTACTTGAACCATTATTTAATATCATGTGTTTCTGTTTGCTCAGAAAAAGTTTGATTATTAGCTTTTAATTCGCAATCATCAACAAATTCCACATGGGTAAATGGAAAATGGCCTTTTTTCCCTTTTAATTCACCTTCCCATTGTCCGTTGATATTCATTTTGGTAACTTTAATAATATTTCCGACTTCTAGTTTTAAAGCGGTCTTATCATAGGCGTTGGGAACACGAGCCTGTTTCACACGAGCATAAGCCGGCAGTTTTCGATTGAGGTCCGATTTTTGTAAAATTACTGGAACATTCTCCATGCTTGGCAAAGTTCTAGATTGTTTGACGATATTGTTTGAGCTGCCGCAATTATTCCCGTTACCAGATGATGGTCGCTCGATAAAATTGTCTTCAGAGCTTTCATCGTACTTTTGAATATAGGGAACAGGTATTTGACCAATTTTACCCATTGCATTTTTAGCTGTCCACCATTCATCTTCATGTTTGTGTATAACGGTCAGTACTTCTCCACGGCGAAATGGCAGGTCATCTTGATCCATTCCTTCAAAATCGAATTTCCCTATAACAAGTTCAGTTTTTTTAGCAACTGGCCGCCTCAATGGTGTGGTATCCAAATAATGTAACGTATAGAATGTTAAAAGTTTTGGCAAGTTTTCAAATGACTGATCTCCAATACGATAAACAATTTGATCGTTTTGCTGAGCCTTGTTTATAATGTAGTTGCTTACTTTTGTGTCTTCTCTTACACATAACACGTAGTCACCAATAATCGAATTACTGTCGCGCACCAGGAAAACACCGCGCTCACGTTCATTCATCAATATTTTGGTCGCATCTTGGCGGGACATGGGGCCAAAGTACCAGCTATCTTTATCAGTTACATCAAAAGCAGCAACGTCAAGGGCCTCCATTATAAAATTCTCCGATGTTTTATTTACTCTCGAAAAGGTACTTTCTGTTCTGATATATATGTATATATATATATATGGATGTATTCTTTACCACTTGGCCTTGAGTTTTGTTATTATTATTCTACACATCAAGAAAGAAACAAAACGATTTTAAGTAGTATGTACTTGTAACATACTTGCTAAGAAATTACTTGTTTTGAGTTCGCTTTTTCGATGACAATATTAACTAAAATGACTTCCGTATTGTTTGTAAATTTAGACAATCTTGTTGAACTCAAAGATGGCCGTCTCCTGACCACGCAGGAACTATGTATCTTTTTGCACACATTTTACGCACTTAAAGTTGGTACATATTTACTTTTTTCTAGCCGAACATTAAAAAACTTATCCAAACAAATGAACACGATCACCAAAAATGTGTATTACATATGCACATAAATATGAAATGTATCTTTTTATATTGTGGCTTTTCTTACTCTTTGTGTGATAGTACCATTTTTTGTAACAATGTGAATTTTTCAATACAGTATTACCAGCAAGATCGTTTTTATTATTACGAATTGATTATTGTCCGGCAGCAATTAAATTATTTGAACTATGTGCAATTCGAAAGCTGTGGTTCTTCATCTTATTGGGAGCATGATATTAGAAATTGTCATCCTTATAAACGTACATAGTATAATGTTATTTTGCACCCAATCTATTCTTAATGAAAAAAAGAATTTTTAGCGATATATATGCCATATATACCATCTCGTAATTGTACAAATCATTGCGTCAACTTTTTATGCATAATATAAATCAATGATGACAAAGCTCAACTCAAGTTCCTTGCTGAAAAAACAGGAATTTATCCTTAGTTAATAAAAACACCTAGAGTTAATCAATCAATAAGTAAGTACAGATGTTTACCTGTAAACAAAATATTTTATTTTTTAGCGTTTGCACACGTCAAAAAAAGGGTTGAAAAAATTTTAAGTTTCACTTGTTTCGACAAAAAGTTGAATGAAGTTTTCAAGAGTAATTTTCCAATCAGAAAATAAATGTATGTTTCATGTTCAAACGTTTCATAGTATGACAGGAAATTAAGCAAAACAACTAACTTTCACAACGCTCTTTTACTTATATAAATTTACGTAGTAACAGTACCGTTCTAAATGAAATCCCGAGCCGATTTCTCAATATGTTCAGAGTCAAAAGAAATTAATATAATAAAGTTTTGTAGACCTCTTTATCAAAAATCAAGTTCACCGCATTGCATGAAATTATCAAAGTGTAGAAAATAAGCGTGAAGAATTAATAGCATTACGAAACAATTTTTACATTAAGAACATAGACTTCTGTAAACTTTTTATAAAAAATAAACTTTTTTATTGGTTAGAAAAATCAATAACTTTCTTGAAACGCCTAGCTCTTCTTCAATTGTTCCGAAAAGACAGTTTATCTCAAATGAAAACTAAAAATCAAAATTAATTATTGATTGGAGTTAAGGTAATGAAATGCTCCAAATCTTGTTCATATGCCTAACCGCATAATTTTAAGGCTTTGTCGCGAGTAGACTTTAAAAACTTCATTTTGTTTAAATATTTCATTTTGTCATGTATGCAAAAAATTCATGATTTCCAATGCGTTATTTATTTTTTTTTTGTTTTAAAGCGACTATTTACAACGTTCTGTAGCACAAGCCCATTTCTTGTATTTGAGATTTTTTAAAATACTTTATCACAAATTTATTAATTTTCATAAACAATTTCCCTCATACTCCTCTTTTTCAAGCAAGTTATCCTTAAAAATGATACTCGAAACTAAATCTAAAACTAAACTTTGCCGTTATAAAGAATACAATTCGCAGGAAAAATTTGGAAAACTGCAAATCGTTTATAGAAATAGTTCCAGTGTTGGACTTTAGGCGTGGTGAAGACCTATCATCTATCATTCTATTGACCAACACTATTCAATTTATTTGTTAACATTGTTTAACAATAGTTTATTTTCACAAGTTGAACATAAATGCTATTCAATTGGTATACCAAAATCAGCTGGAAAACTATAGCGAAAGTTAAATCTTTCATACCTAATTTCTCTCCTTACAAATCAATCAGATGTTGCGTTCTGACAGAAACGAAGCGAAAATGAAACAATACGCACTATAGCGTTTTCGGCGACTGTAAGGGTTTCTAGGCTTTCAAGATTAACTTTTCAAAGGAAAGGTTCAATAATCATCAATTATACAACTACATGTTGTATATTAAATTATGGGTATCCTAACGCTTGGCATTACATTTAATTTTATAGAACAAATACCTTAAGAAAAAGTCTGATAGTGAAATTTTAAGTTTTGTTAAACAACAGTAAGGCTAATTTTTTCGGCAATATCGGAAACTTCTGCTAATTGGGGTTTGTATTATTTTTTTATTTAGTATCGGTTATTTTAAGAAAAATGTATTTAAAAAAATTGATTTAGTATCTATTCTGTAGTGCATTTCGAACTTTTAAATATGAAAAATAATTTCCTTATATTACCAAAGGTATACACAAAGGTAAACACAAAATAGCCAATTCAAAAGAATATATACGAAATTATTTACAAATCAAAGCTGGACACAAAGGTAGACACAAAATAGCTATTTCAAAAAAACACATATGAAATTGTTTAAAAGTCAAAGGTAGACACAAAGGTAGACACAAAATAGCCAATTCAACACTATGCAACACAATAATCCCCAACAATCTAAAATGTGTAATCATGAAAACTACTAACTAAACCCCATTTTACATTATATTCACATTTACACAATGGGGTAACCATGCATTGAAGTTAACATAAATCACTAGTTATGACAACACCAAATTTGTTGCTGGAAAAAACCGAAGTTTGTGAAATATTTTTAATGTAAAAAATTTACAACTAAAATTAACGAAAGATTTAAAATTAATAAAAAAAAAATAAAAGTAAATGTCTATTAACAAATCAATTCATTTTATTAAAAAATAACAAAAAAAAAAGTGTTAAAGAAAATTCTAACTTCTATCTTTCTTTTCGACAAACGGAGAAAGAAAAAATGAATCTAGAAAAATTTGTTAATTGTTGGGAAACGACAATATAAATGCGCAAAAAAAAAAACAAAATTTTTTATCCATGCTGCGTGAGGCAATGTAAAAAATCGAAATCATTAATATCTTAGGCAATAAGAAAAAATACCAGATTATTTGCATACTTGGCACAATCAATAAACTGCAAGTAGTCTGACTCGTATATTGCCAGAGTTACAATTTCTTCAGCAAACTTATTTCATTCTCTCGTGTCTATATTTTACTGCTTCCACCACCATCAACATCGTTAGGTATAATTGCAACCGCTCTGGGCAAATAGAACAAAAGAACAAGGAAGAGGGAGTTAAAAGATTGCTTTATAGTGTGTTTTAATTTTTTTTAAAAAATAATATAACGTTTCACATAAAAGTTATTGATATTAACAGTAATTGTCAAGAAAAGGCGTGCCGCTACTCAATTTTTCGAGTGTGTGGGTGTGAATGTTTTGTATTGCATTAATTATATACCGAAAGTTTTGTTAAATAAATAAAGTAAATAGAATAATAAAAAAATGAAAAAAATATTTTCAAAGTTTGATAAAAATGAAAAACTTGAATCCCTCAACTATAATACATCGACCAAAGAAACAAGAGACGCCAGTTTTGTTGGCAAAGTGTTCACCGTTGGTCGTGTCACGGTCACCGTGGAGGATGTTTTGGCTGAAGGTAAGAATACATTATCAAATATAAAAAAAAAAAAACCAAATTCGTAAAGTTTCCTAATTAGTTATTTTCTTTCTACGTCCGACTTGCTAGCGTGATAATTAATTAAAGTTAAGAAATACATGATTAGATAAAGTTGTTTTGGATTAGTTTTGTGCATGCGTTCAACAACAAAAAACAACGATCTAAAAATATGAAATATTATTATGTACAGAATGACGAGATAAGATAAATTATATACATTTCTAATTTAATTTTAGTAAAAACATTATAATATGGATATTGATATGACTAAATATATCTAGGGGGAGTTTTTTTGGTTATTATTCACAATCTCCAATGATACTTTTGCGGCCACTACCAACGAATAGAGACGCGTTACAATGTCACTTCGATTGTAAAATCAATGCCTCACCTATATACACTAATTCATTATACAAAACCTTTATTTTGGAACAAAACGCAATTCGAGAAAATTGCGAGTACTTAGGTGCACTTTTAGCAATCTGATCTGGATAATGTCGATTTAAATTTGTAGCTCATCATCAATATAATAAAAAAAAGGTCACCTATAACATTATCGTCATCATTATATAAGCTACACGAAATGTCGATCCCAAATAATATGCATGTAAGTCAAAATTTTTTGTAATCTGTGCCTGCTAAGAATCCAAATTCGTTCATTATTAGATGGTTTTGCGTGTCTTCTGAAAATATTTATGCCATGTACGCGTTTTTAAAAGAATTGTTACGTTAGTAGATAAGTGTTTTCATTAGTTAAATTCGACACTGTTGTCACCTTCTTTGCCGATATCATAACCATAATCTTAAAGCTATTAGATCGAGTCATAAGTAACTTCCGTTTTTTATCAGACATCTATTTTGTCTTCATTGAATAAAAAATTATATTAATTTAACAATTGATTATGAGATATTCAACATTTTTGCTATAATTCTTGTTGATTAGTGCGGATTTTATTCCAATGTTGCCTTTAAATGGTTGTCGTCAAAGTCAGAATGACGTCCCGTCTCTTAACGTCGTTTCTCCAGAACGGAATTTTACAAGTCAATTTGTAACTGTCCGATCAATTATCAATCCTTCACTATATATCCATATCTTTTCATCTGTAGCCTTAGCGCTATTGCCTTAATAAAGAGAATTCGATGCAACATGCACCACATAAAACAGATGCCAAAAAGACTAAGTGAATCCTCATCTATATAGCGAAAACAAAAACACGTTTGCCTTGGTGATCTAAGGTGGGTAAATACGAACAATAGAATCTACCTATATACGACCTTAGCAATAGACATGGAATTAAACAATACTTTTTGGGAGAGACCAACTCCAGTTGCAAAAGTAGCTAGCGATATGAAGAATGAGTCGTAATCAACAAACATCTAAATGTAGAATTTCATTCTTTTATCCTTTTATTACTTAGTTGCCTTGTAAGGGTAATAATTTTGACTAATAATTCTCTCTCAGAGAATTTGCGAGACGGACTTTTTAAACGTATTTGTCAATTGTGTTAGACAGAAACAGATTATTTGACTAGAGCTGGTGAAATATTTAGCTTTCGCACACAGCTGTTTTGCGAAAATTGTTAAATACAAGAGCCTAGAACCTAACATTGGTATATATGTATATGTGAGAGGTTGCCCCCAAACTAGGGTACAGGATACATAGTGAAGAATATCGTACAGATTTTTAATCATATTTATGCACAATTTGTCAGCCCTTAATAGGGAAATAATAAAAATAAGAAATGATTGGAAATTATAAGCATCTAAAGGCATATTATAAGAAAATATTTGTAATCAAATTCGTCCTTTTATAGAAAAGTAAAGGAATCGAAATATTTCCGCTACGCGTGTTTAAAGGACAAAAACTACATGTCACATATGTTAAACAACTCACTCTTCCTAATAATTACATAAAATAAAGAGAATCCTTCCCTTCTCGGCATTATTCTTTAAAACATCTTCGAACTTGTGACGGACGCTTCATCAATGAGACAGATCTCCAATTTTAGACAAAACTCTTCCTTCCTTTTTTTAGGCGGACTCGCTTAACGGATTTAAGCTAATGATCGAGTTCAACATTCTTCACAGAATTCCGCCACTAGGTGCAAAAACAAAACGATATGCCAATATGTTTTGTCAAAGCTTTTTTGGCTCTAGCATTCAATTTTGTTATAAAAGACCGGTCGTAAGATCTCTGTAGTGGTCCTCAAGATGCAACTGTAAGTTCTAAGTTTTCTTGAATTGACATTAATAACCTCATTATCCTATTCCTATTATCGAGGAATGCTTTGCTTGTACTTTATGGCGAGTTCAAAGTACATATTTATCTACGCCATAGATGTGAAACCACAGCAATGAAGGGTATAAGAAGACGTGGTCCAAACCAGATATTTCTTTTTAAAGAATTTTAAATTTTTTGTCCCCCATCCATCATCACATTTCCCCATTCCTCAATCATGTTTTTCGTCCTTGATAGAAAACATGTGCTGACAAATGTCAAAGTGCAAGAAAAAATGAAGTGTTTCTCACTAAGTAGTGAATAAGAAATAATATTTTCAATAAATACTAGAGACCACTTATGCTTTACCTTACCGACTGTAGGCATATGTATATAGGCATGAAGGTACAATGCCAACGTTCGTTCTGATTACTTTAATTCTGCTTATTTTATTTTTGTGATATTAGAAAATAATGACGTCAAGAGATTCTTTTAACGACAGCTTAGTAAATATTATAAGAGTCTGTATAAATATGTATGTACGTAATACGCTGTAAATAGGTTCATAGCTCGTAGTGAAAGCGCAATGTCAGTTCTTACATTTGATTTACCTCCAATGTGTTTTGAAAATTTGAATGGGGAAGAAATTCAATGGATTTCTCTTTTTTTTTTTTTTTTTTTTTTTTTAGAAGATCTTTAAACAGTTGTTTTTAATTTACGTTATGTATACAAACAACGGAACTCTTATTATTATTTAAATTATTTATATACTATTTAACGGAGATTTCTTTAAAACCTACAGTCGCTTGTTATTGATATTATCTGCTAAGAAGCAAAGATGTATATGTTTAAATCGTCTTGCCTGGTTGTAACCTTACAAACACACACACACAATAATTGGAAAGAAACGTGAAATTCCTGCGTTTTCTATGTCAATATAAGTCCATAAAAATAGGATGAATATGTGATTGATCGATTCATCCTAATATTAAAATAAAAATATTCAAATATCTCATATATATGATAAAATATATGAACAAAAATAAGTAAGAAAATTATTTTCGTCTACAGTCGAATTTTGTATACTAATATCAATTTTTAGATACCCTATCTCATTATTATTAGATTAGAAGTTTAAGGAGAATTACTAGCAGGTGTTATTTAGAATAAATTGAAAAAAATGAAAATTTGATCAATTATAAATTTGTCAGATCGTCGCCGACTCTTTCATACGTTTTTACACAGACAATATAACTCAATTTTTAAGCCTAGGTGACGGTCAACAACACACGTCCACACAGACACATAGACACACATACTCACAGACGGAGAGACGAGGCTAGATCGACTTAGAATTTGACGCTAATCAAGAATATTTACACTTTGTAGGTTATTTAAAGTTTCCTGTTAATGTTACAAACATTATGGCATAATGAACATAAGCCCTTCAAATTCAGTCCAAACACGCACTACCTAATTTTTCTAATGAAATAAGGAATTATCTTATTCAAATTCGTGAGCGTATAAAAGACAGAAGCATCTAAACTACAGGTTTATAGGTTTAGAAGATTCAGATTTTGGGAGAGTCTCATCCGTTCCGGGAAGGTTAAGTCGTAATAGATCTATTTGAAATGTGTAAGTGAAGACCCTACACTGCCTTTTAAAGCAAGTTGTCTTTAAGGAAAAACAAAATCTTCGTTCAATCGCCACTCAATCCCATCTACGAATGAGATGAATTCATTTCTAAGATATCATGTCCACCGACTACAAAAGTAAAGTTTTGAGACAAAAAGTATTATTGAAACTGGATATTGGGGTATGATGGAGAAGCGTCTGTGTGGTTTATGCAATAGTAAAGAATCTTCGGTCTGTCTTTTAACGCCCACACGCCTATCTGGAAGAAACTGAGAACAGCTTTGTTTTCCGCGGTTTTCGCTCACTCTCTCGTAAAGTTTACGCCACGTGCACCACATACATTTTCATTTTTATTCTCAAAATGGGAAAAATCAGACGCGCCCATCCAATATTATAGAGCAAGAAAATTTAGGTTTTTTCTTCTTTTTAGTCTGTTTTAAGATAACTGGGATGGGTATAAAAAATGCATTCACCACCGAATATAAATTTCTTACTCGATTTTAATACTTGAGTGTTTCTACCCGTTCGTCGCATTCATGAATGTATTTCAAATATCATCCACTTTATCTTTTGAACAAGAACTTGAAATTAAGAAAGGTAATCCGTCTGAGTGGCCTACTAGGCAAGAGTCTCGACTAGCAATTCAATGGTAGTGGATTCAAATCGCAAGTGCGATAGACTTTTTAATAAAGCCGAAAGCCTTAGATGCTAGTTCTTTAAGATCTTTAGTCTTAGAATTTATTCTCTGGCTAAATATATAATAATAATAATAATAATAAGAAGAAGAAAGTTAAGAGAGAATAAATAATAACCAGACTAACCTTAGACTAGTTTTTTTTTATTAATCGGAAATTTGACAAATACATAGAATAATATAAAAACGCTGAAGTTTTATCTGCCCCTTGATAAGAATAACATTTAAGAGAGATTATCCATGGAAAAAGTCTTGTACTCCACTGTGCATACCTATGTATGCTGTTGTTCTTTTTTTAAATAGACAGAGCTAGTTCAAGTTTAATGATATCTCGTTAAACTGTCTGCTTTGTTCAAATACAATACATTTGTAAACATGTTTTTATTTATTCAATAATAACTGAGTTGTGTGTAATGCAATTACATGTTTGGT